ATTACTCAATGATTATTATTTAATAATAAAAAAAAAAAAAAAAAAAAAAAAAAAAAAAAAAAATTTTTTTGTTTAAAAAAAAAAAAAAAAAAAAAAAAAAATTCATGGCCGAATCAGTATTGTGTGTTTGTGTGTGCGAAGATGATAATTATATCATCATGGACAAATTGATAAAAGAAATGTAGAATATAATATAGCAAACATATGATGATGATGGTTATGTTTGATAATCATTGACAACGATAATCAAACATTTGAAAAAGTAAAAAAGAAACAGAAAAATGAATTTTTTTTTCTTCAATTCGAATGTCACATCTCTCGTTTTCATTTGTTTGTTTTGACAACAAATTACCTTGATAATTTTCCAAATACAAACACATTGATTTTCTTCTTTTGTTAATTCATTTCTAACTGTTTTTTATTTTCATTCATTCTTTTATTTTCATTAATAAATTCAATTAAAAACAAAGACGAAAACGAAAAAATCAATCACAACAACAGCAACAACAACAACAACAACAAAATCTTCAACAACAACAACAACAAGAACCATACAATATTCGTTATAATTCGAATAATGGACAAACACCTCCAATGAATAATGGTGTTTTAGGTGTTGTTGGAGATTATCATAGTGCCAATAATAATAATAATAATAATAATTCAATGTTGATGCAATCACATCATCATCATATGGATGGTTCATCCATTAGACATGATTCAACAACAATGTATCAGGTTAGTTGCAATATTTTTTTGAATTTTACAAAATTACATTTATTTATTCATTCAATAGCATATGAATAATTCTTATCCAAATCAACAATCGTATCAAACAACACAACAACAACGAATGCAATCAACAAATTGTCTAAATGGATCTCTTAATAATAATAATCAATGTACCTCGCAATCATCATCTACAATGGCTATGACAGCCGGACATCAAACATGTGGTCCAACAATGTCTGGTCATCATCATTCTCATCATAATGGTGGTCCACATCATGGAAACGGAATGATGATGTCTGCTACAGCACATCAAGATCCGACAATGATGACACCAACAACAGCAATGAAATCAAATAATTATAGCGGTGGTCGTGCATCGACAATGCGTAATGTTGCTCCATCATCGAATCAAGCCCCTTACTCAACATCGGTCAATCCAACACAACAACATTATTCTACTTCACAGACGCCAAAACGATCTTCTTCTTCCTCATCATCAACTGCAATGTCACAACCATATTCAATGATGAATCAAAATAATGTTTATCATAATAATAATTATGGTATGCAATCACAACAAAATCAACCTCATTTCAATAACTCACAGGTAATGTTTGATTTTTGTTTTCAATAAATTTGATCAATTTTTACCTTGTTGTTTTTTTTTGAAATTTCACTTCCGCATTATATAGTATCCTGTTAATCAGAACATGTCGTACAACCCGAAAACATCATCAATGCCATCACAGCAACAAACACAATCGCAGCAACAACAAATGTTCAATAATTCGATGATGCCTGTTGCAACAATGAATAATGGCAACAATAATGGTTATCATCATCATCATCATCATCATGGACAATCGCCGAATGCAGTTACAGCAACAGCTACGGCCAAATCTACTCAACATCAACAACAACAACAACATCATCATCATCATCAACAACAGATGCGTAATCAACAAGGTCAATTCATGTCAAGCAATCAATATTATTCACCATCATCATCGACAACACCAACGGTGGCTGCAACATCGGCTACTTCAGCTACAGCGGCATCCGCCCATCTTCAACAATCACAACAAATGGCCCAAAATCATTCCAATCATTCACATCATCATTCTCATCATCAACAACATCTTACGCATCCACAGCAAGCACAAATGCATCAAACTCATCATTCACTTCATCAAACTAATAATCAAATGACTGGCAATACATCAAACAATACGATCTCAAATATTCATCATCATCCTCATCAATATGATATCAATAATTCTGGTAGCTATGGAACGGGAGGTGTTGGTAGCCAACCTTATGGCCAACAACATCATAATAGTTCTTATTCACAACAACAACAACAACAACATTGGTCAATGTCTGGTTCCGGTGGTGGCCCAAACAATCAGAGTCAACAATGTAATGGTGGTGCCATTGGTAACAATATCAATTCGTATCAACATTCACCGATTCCGGGAAATCCTACACCACCATTGACACCGGCATCAAACATTCCACCATATCTGTCACCAAATGGTATTGATAATAAATCATCAAATTTAACGATCAATGATGTTAAGCCAAGACTTTCTTCAAATCAACGTAAGTTTTGGAATTGTTTGTGTTGTGTTTTTCTCTCTAACATCTTCTGAATTTTGTTTGATCATGATAGATGATGACGAAATTCGATTAACATTTCCGGTACATGATGGTATTATTTTACCACCATTCCGTTTGGAACATAATCTTGCTGTCAGTAATCATGTATTCCATTTAAAACCAAATGTTTATGAAACATTAATGTGGCGTCATGATCTAGAATTGCAATTGAAATGTTTTCATCATCAAGATCAACATATGAATACTAATTGGCCAGCATCGGTTCAGGTGTCGGTCAATGCCACACCATTAGTGATCGAACGTAGCGATACGAAAACGTTCCATAAGCCATTATATCTAAAAGATATTTGCCAATCTGGACGTAATATGATTCAAATTACTGTGACCGCTTGCTGTTGTGTATGTATCTTTAATTATTTTATTTCAAAAAAAAATTCATTCAATTACAATGCCGAATACTAATATTTCATATATTCATATTATCAGTCACATCTTTTCAGTTTACAATTGGTACATCGGCCAACATTACGTTCTGTGTTACAAGGTTTACTACGAAAACGTTTGCTTCCAGCCGATCATTGCGTGACAAAAATCAAACGAAATTTTTCCAACAATGGATCATTGACGCCATCACAACAATATGAAGATAGTATTGAACCGACTGCCATTAAAGTTCCACTTAAATGTCCGGTCACATTCAAAAAGATCTTATTACCATCACGAGGTCCAGATTGTAAACATATCCAGGTTTGTTGAGATTATTTATGTGAAAGAAATCGATTTTATTAATCTAACCGCTTACTATCATTATTCTTTTACAATTTATTATCATTTTAGTGTTTTGATCTTGAATCTTTTCTTCAAATGAATGCCGACAAAAGTACCTGGAAATGTCCGATTTGTAATAAACCGGCTTTTCTCGAAGGTCTTGAAGTTGATCAATATATTTGGGGTATATTGACATCGACCGGTTTAGATGTTGAAGAAGTGACTATCGATTCGAATGCTTATTGGAAACCAATCAATAAATATGATTCAGGTAAGACTAATGATAATGATCATTTGTGAAAAAGACATTTTTTTCTATCCATAAAATTGGAAAATTGTTGCTAATATGTTGCAATCTTTATTCGTTCATTAGGAAACTACAATACTTCAAAACGATTCAAGGCTAATTCGCCGAATAGTATGCAATTGCCAACATCAAGTTCTTGGGAACTTGGTCAAGGTCTATCGTCATACCAATCATCGATGCCCACACCTGACATGCAATGTATGTATTGAATTTTATTTAATAATCTTTTTAAACATCACTTAACAAATTACTATATTTACCTAAATCGTGATATTTTGTCATTTGAATGTAGCTATTTTGAATGGATCCAATGTTAACAACAATAATAGTGTTCAATTGAATAACGGCAATAACTCATCATTTACACAATCATCATCAATGTCGAGCTTTGAATTTCAATCATCTGCATCTGAATTTGCACCATTGATGCATGATGTATCTAATGATATGGCAATGTCTACTATCAATCCATTGACAGCGATAGAAAAATCTATTAGTCATGTAGAACAAAATATGGGTCCACCAGTATTCGGATCTTTAGGATCATCAACAACCACTTCCGATAATACGATCAATAATGGAATACCTACCCGACCAAATAGTAATAATGCAAACAATATTAATAATAATTTAAGTTCATTGAATACACCTCCATCAACTTCATCATCATCGGTTGCATCAGTTTCCAGTAATAATAGTGGTGGTTCGATTATGAATCCCGGTAGCCATGGCCCACATACACCTGCAACACCATCATCATCAGCAGCTGTTGGTAATAATAATCATGGTGGACCAAATACACCACACACACCACATACACCGCACACACCTCATACGCCCGGTAGTTCAATGAATCAAACATCAGCACCTAGAACTCCACAAGGTAGTGAACAATCATTATCATCAACAAATAGCCAAAATGGTAGTAGTAAAAATGGAAACAGTAATAGTAATCCCGGTTCTGCTTTGAATGATCTCCATTTTGATCCAGCTGCTGTTATTGATGGCGAAGGTCAAGGACAAGAAACACTTAATGTAAGTGATTAATATAGAAAACATAAATAATAATAATTGAAATTTTTTTTTCGATAGCTTCTTCCGGATAACATAGTCGATATGGAATTATTATCCTATCTAGAGCCACCAGATTCAGGCCTAGGAACGGGTAATTCATCAAGTGTTGATCTAAATGGATCATTAACATCGGTCGATGATAGTGTTGTTGCTGACGAAATACTCTCATTATTTGACAATTGATAATTAAACAAACAATAGCCAGTGACCAATGGTATTATTATTATTATTTAAATGACGCTGTCTTCTACGATTTTTATCAAAAAAATATTTTTTTTTCTTTGTTGATAATTATTTTAAATGATGATGATAAATTTCAATAATCATTGAAATAACAAATTATTGTAAAACTTTGTTATTGTTTTTTCTTCTTCTTTATCTCTTTCTTTCTTTCATTCAATTCTCAATTGTTAATTTATTATTCATTCATTCATTCATTCATCATCATGTACAGTAACAAGAAATATAATTTAACAATTTTTTTTCCGGATTATTTTTCGTTTTGATCGAATAAACGTTATCATCATCATCATCATCATCATCATCATCATCAATAATTATCATTATGCGCACGAATCTTAATTAATGTTCAAATGTTCTCGAATTATCTTTGACCAGAAACAGAATACACACACACAGACACACAAAACAAACGTGAAACAAGATTGTCACATTTTATTCTTTTGTATATAAAAAAAACAAAAACAAACATTTTTTTTTCTTTCATTCATATTCATTATATTATGTTCTTTCATCAAAATGATTTTCTTATCTGATCTGTTCTCATCGATGTTTTTTTTTCTCTCTCTCTCTCTTTGTTTTTTCCTGAATTCAATTATAACTTTGATGAACAAAATATTGAATTTTTTTTTTAAAAAAAAAACTTTGTTTGGAATCAAAGTAAAGTCAAAAACTGATTGGAAAAAACGTTTATCGTTCAATTCAAAAGCAAAGAAAATAAATTCTGATTTGATATTATCAAAGCAAACCAAAAACAAAAAATAAAACAAAATGAATTTATTCAATTTTTTTATATATAAAGTTTAAATATTAATACTTTGACCAGAAAAGAAAGAAGAAAAATATATAATTCATAATACTTTTGTGCTATGAATCGGTTATCATTTGTTTGTTTGTTTTTCTTTTTTTCCCATTAAAAATGTAAGCGGGAAAAAAATATTTTTCAAAAAAAAATGATTAATCATACAAAAATGACAAAAACTAATAACAACAACGGGGGAAAAATTTTTTTTTGATGGCATAAAACACACACACACACAAATATAAAATATGATTTTTGTTGAAAGAATCTTTTCATTTCGAATATGCTAAATATATGGATTAAATTCCAATCAAATACAATTCAACAACAACAACAACAACGGCAACAGGAATGAAAATAATTCTGACTAGGTCGTATAATATAAGGAGGAAGTCTTCATGATTGGAATGTTATTGCGGAATCACTGGTTGTTGTTGTTGTTGTGGCTGCTGTGATTGCGGTGGCTGTTGTTGTTGTTGTTGTCCAACCATATTATCATTATATTGAGTTGTCTGTTTGCACAAATTAGTATTATTGATACGTGTTGTTGATATACCGGAAGACGTTGTAGTCGAAATATTTCTTGAATTCGATGCAAGCTATTTAGAAATTAATCAATTAGTTATCGAAATCTAAAAAAAATAAATGATTTTCAACATACCTCACCAAGCATCTTTAATGGTGTTGTTTGTGTAGCTTTGGCTATTCGTTGTTCAACCAGATAGAATATATATTCATCAAATAATAATCGTATTAGATGAAATGATCCAAATGATTGAGCCGATCGTAATGTTAAATCACGCATTACAAGTGAACTATTTGAATTATTTAAATTTTTAGTTTTTTAAATGTGAATGAAATAAAAATATTGTAATAATAAATAGTTACCTGTAGAATTCCCATTTGAAAAAAAATTGTTTGGCTGTACTTATATTGTGATTTGATAGACTCATGTTTAACACTTCTTCACACCAATAAGCCCATCGATCGTATGGACATTGATCGGATAGAAATCCCTACGAATGATTTGTTTATTAAAATTTATAGGAAATTCTTTTTTTAAATTTACCTTAAAGCTTGATTCAATTTGATGTACAATCTCTTCATCACATTGGCATACCCAGGATGCTTGTTCCTTGTTTGTTTGTTTATTTTGATTAAAGCATAGAGAGATTATCATTAATATTTAATTAATCAAAATCAAAATAATAATGTGGGTGAATATTTATTTACCTGTACATTTTTAAAATCTACTTTATTTAGATCGTTAATCATTTGTGAAACTTGTTGTTGATTTTTCAACACTGCACATGCTGCTGTCGATAAATGATTCAATGATGTATAACGTCTAAGCATATGACTGAGTGAACTAACTGCCGCTGTTTTCATTCGTATAAATTCATCTAAATGATTATTTAACATTATCAATCGATTATTGTTCAATCAAAACAAGAAAAAAAAAGAGAAAATATAAACGTTCAAAGATCGATAAACTCAAATAATATGGATACGAACCAGAATAACCTTGTAAGGCATTCAACATCCATTTATTAATACATTTGGCAAAATTTCTAATCTGTTGCGTTAATATTTGTGGTATCGGTTTCAATAGATTTGGTAATAATAATGTTGTTAAAATTGAATTATACATTGTATAATCGGTTTGAGCTATCCAATTGGACATATCAGTTTTGGTTAATTCACGTAATGATTGTAAACTTAATTGATGTTCAACATCATTATCGATAGATGTGTTTGGTGGCTGCCAAAATGATAGCCATATATTTTCCACTTCTTGGAAGCTCAATTCGGATAAGGCATTTATAATTTTATCAAAATGAATACGATAACTTTTGTAAAACATATTTGATCTTTTTTGTGATTCATCCTGTTGTTGTTGTTGTTGTTGTTGTTGATTATCTTGCTGTGGCCAAACAGTATCCAATAATTGTCTTGAATCACCTAAATATGATTGAAGTGATTCTTTTGTTGTGGCCATATGTTGTAAATCATTTATAGCATTCACATTGTTATTATTGTTATTAATATTGTTGTTGTTGTTGGCTTTTGGATTATTATTATTGATGACATTATTATTATTAGTGTTGTTGTTGTTGTTGTTGTTATTATTATTATTGGATGAAATATGATTTAATTTGGATCGTTTCACCGGTGGCATCGTATTGTTTTCCACTGAACCATTATTATTATCATTTAATGGTGAATTAGCTTTTACACGAATACCATAATAATGATATTTTGAATTGCCTATTTGTTGTTGTTTATTTTTTTTTTAAATTTATGTTAAATGATATTCTTATTAAATGTAATGGAAAAAAATACCTCTTGTGCCCAAACGTCTAGTACGAAGACCAACAAATACTGAACGTATTAATTTACCAAATGATGCTGCATTCACCGGTTCCATATTATTCACTTGACAATGTTGTTGATAATGTGAATAGAGCGTTGATCGCGGAAGTGAAACTCCTGTTTTAAATCAATCAATAAAAAAAAATAATAAAAAAAATTTGTTTGAATGAATGATTCAATAAAGATATCGATGATCAATTACCATCGGCTGTTTCATAGTTTTCCAGTAACCAGTTAACCTATATATATTTATGAATGAATGATATATTTTTTTTTAATCTCAAACAACAACAAAATTATGACTTACAGTTTGTGGTTGAACAGAAATTCGTGCAGGCTGTTGATATGATTTATTATAATCGACTTCATCAGTTAAAATCTGTTGATAAATGATTTATAACAATTATTATTATTGATGATTTTGTAATAAAAAAAATGAATAAATAAATAATTTACCTGTATTGTATCACGATGAGATATAAGGCCATTGTTCGATATTGTTTGTGATGGTTGTTGTTGTAATTGTGTTGGCTGTACTGGTGTCGGTTGATGATGCGTTTGATTCATAGGATGATCATTGGCTGTAGCGGCTGTTGCTGTTGACGCAACTGTTGGATCCATTACAACATAACCATCGGGCAAACTGGTTGTATAATATGCACTATGTGTATATGAATCGGTAACATAATATGTAGCCCTGGATAACAACAAAAAAAAAACAATGTTGAAATGTAAATTTGAGTTTTGAATTTGGATTCGTAAAAATAAATATTAAAAAAAACGATTCTTACATTGGTCCAGCCGAATTGGCACCATTTGGATAATTATAATCTTCATATGATGTATGCGGTGTATGTTGTTCAGCTACAGCAACAACAGCTGCATTATTATCCGTAACATCAGATTCTAATTGATTTGTTTGTGATTGTGATGGTTGTTGTTGTTGTTGTTGTTGTTGAGGTGTTGGCGGTTGTTGTGGTGTTACATTATGTTGATCTTGTTGTTGTTGATCAGATGATGAAACCGTTATATATTGTGATTGTGATTGTTGCTCGACACTGACATTAACAGTTGATACTAATGTCACAACCGGTTGTGTTGAGATCATTTCTATTGTTAAAATAAATAAATAAAGAGAATATTAATTAATTAAATTAAAAATTCCTAATTTGAATATGCTTATCATGAATTAATAATAATAATAATAATAATCAAATAACAACCTGTAGATTGTGGGTGTTGTTGCTGGGTCAACGATGATGATGATAATGATGTTGATAATATTGGCGTTGAAGATGATGATGATGATGATGGAGGTAGTATCGATGGCAACGTGGCATCTACTACAGCTATTGATGATGATGATGACGATGATGATATTGATGTTGATGATGATGATGATGATGATGAAGATGGAGCGACAACCGTTATAATAGCTTCGGCTGCTGTTGTGGTCACCAATGATGTAGATTGTTGTTGTTGATGTTGATGTTGATTTAAATGATGATGATGATGTTGTTGTTGTTGTTGTTGCTGATACGATTGTTGTGATTGACTAGTCGATGAATAATGAATCGGTTCAGGAATAACACTATCACTAGATGATGATAATGTTAATGGTACAAAAGCAATTGATGATGAATTCTTTATATTATTATTTGATGATAATCTAGGTTGCTGCAATTGTTGATGTATTTGTTGTTGTTGTTGTTGTTGTGAAGTATGTGGCGGTAAATTGTTTTTATTTTGATTCGTTCTATCCGTATTTTGATTTAAATGTTTATCCATCATCAACATCATCATCATCACCATCACTAACGACAACAATACCGGTGATAATGTTGGCGGTTGATTTTTGTGGTTATATTGTTGTTGTTGTTTCAATGTTGATATTTGATGATGATTAAAATTATAAAAAATATTGATCGTGGCATTCACAATAATTGCAATCAATGTAAAGTAATCATAATCATTTATTATTATTATTATTGTTGATCTTTGTTGTTTTGACTGAATTGTAATGATGATTATTATTATTATTATTTCCAAGTTTGATTGTTGTTGCATTCTATAAAAGGAGTAATGGATAATGGAGTCAATATCAATATGATAACAAACAAGTTAGGAATTAAACGATATGATAACGTTAAAAATACTAATAATAAATGTCAAAATATATATTTTTTTCCTGATATATTATGGATTATAAATATCAAACATAAATAAATAACTGTTTTGGTTATTTGATTAAGGTAACCAACACACACACAAAAAAAAACATTTGGTATTTTATATTAATCATTACAATTGCACATTGTAGAGATGGAGTTAATCTAATAATTTGTCATGATTGTGTTCAATAATAAAAAAAAAAGAAAGAAATATAGACCATAAATTGATTGATTGTTGTTAAAATTGTTGATAAAATGATGATGATCAAATAGAAAAAAAAATCTCGACATATGGATCAATTTTTTGTTAATGCTCGTAAAATCTAATGGGATTCATTTAAAAAAATTTAACATCTTGAAAAATTCAATGAAATTTTTTCTTATTTTGTCTGTGTGTATGTTTTCTAGTGATGAAAAAAGCCAGCGATGAAAAAAAACCTTACCTAATTGATACTAGATATATTTTTTTCTTGTTTTGTTTATTGTATTAGTAAATCATTATTTTTACTTTATTGATAAGTTTGATGTTTTTTTTCTTGTTGTTGTTGTTGTTGTTGTTGTTGATCCTTATCTTTAATAAACATTTTGATCTGGCTATATTTTCCTTATATTTTTATAACATTATCATTCAAATCGACAATCTTAGACAAACATATTTGGCAAACAAACAAACAAAAAAATCCAATAGTAAACCCATGTTGAATTAGAACCTGAACTCAAATATGAATTTCACACTATTGACAAATAATTGAATCTTTGGAACACGAGTGTATATGGATGAAAATTGTTTGAAAAATAACATTAGCTTTAGATTGAGTGAGTAGTGAAAGAAAGAGAGAGAGAGTGAGAGATAAGAAAATCAAATAAATTGGTTGATTGTAATCAAGAGAGAGATATAGGGGAAATTTTTCTTCTTTTTTTTATTATCAACAAATCGGGTTAGGTCAACCGACATCAAAATCATCGAAATCATCATCATCATCGACACTATGGACACCAGTATAACTTCCTTTAGGATACAGCCGATTTTTGTTTTCTCGTTGTTACAAACGTATGAATGACGTTATGAACTTTGAATGAAACACTTTCTTCAGTGAAACACAGAATATATCAATCAATCGAAAAACTGTTTAAGCCTAATTGGCATTTTTATTGATGAATATTTTGCCTTTTTTTTGAAAAAAAACCTGTTCATTCGTTTCTTTATGTAAATCGAATTGACTAAACCAGCATGATTCAGTCAATTTATGGCGGTAATAATCATCTAAAGTTGTATAAATTAGCCAACGTTTTTTATTTTTCGTTGTTGTTGACCGAAACGTTTGCCGAATCAATTATCACCGGTGACATACACACATTATTAACCTAATCATTTTTTTACAGTCGTCAAAAGCGGTAAAATTTTTTGATGATTTAATAGAGAGAAAAAAAAAATATAATTTTATTATTGAAAATTTTCATTTTACCGAAAACAAAACGAAAAAACAACAGTTGAAAATTGAATGCCATTGGCCAGATGCATAAAATGAATGAATGAATGGATGGATGGATGGATGGTTAGCTACCATTTAATAAAACAAAAAAAAACTTGGAATTCAACAAATTCTGTGTTACTTATGTCCAATGCAGATGCTGAAATTCATGAAAACATCTGCGCATACATATAGATAGATAAAAGATTAAGTTCCTGAAAAAAAATAAGTTTCAACAGTTTTTTTTGCCGAAATTGATGAAAATTTTTTTGTTTTGTTTTTTCGGTTTGGTGACATTTCAAACATACACACACACACAAGTAAACACATACGGCCCATCTAGTCAAAACAATCAAATTTTCTAGTTTATAATTATCAATGATGACGGATGACGGATGATACACGTGCGCGTGCCAAAATCATCGAGGCGTTGAAAAAAAAGACTTCTATTTTAATGATAAAACCTGATGGTCAACGACGGCAACGACAACAAAAATTGAAAAAATTTGAAAAGCGTATATTCGCGTGTACCATTTTCATTTCACAGAAGGAAGTAAATAGTGAGAAAATGTCATTGTCATCAATGGTGAATGTTGACGATGATTGCGTGTTGATCGGTCATTTACAGAATGAATGAATGAATGGAATGACTTAATTTTTTACTTTCAATAATAAAAAAAATTTGGCGCGAAATTTTTGGATAAACTTACCAAGCAACAATTTGATATTCAATTTTTTAAATTGTTTTTTGATAAAATTTTCATTTCACAAAAATCATAACATATCAATCAAAAAGTAAATAAGATTATGAAGATTCAATCACATCAAATTAATACAACAAACACAGACATAAACAAATAATCACATGGTGAACATGAATTCTGTTGATGGAATTTTTTTTTTGCTTTCTCTCACTTTCTTCCAATTCACCGGTTCCTCGTGGTCTTTGATGTTTTGATTTTGTTGTTGTTGTTGTTATTATTGACGTTGTCAATAGTGAGAATCTTTCATTCTTTAACAACCAAAAAAAAAGTCAGTCAGTCAGTCAGTCACTCGGTCGTTTGGTTGGTTGGTATCGAAAATATAGAGTAGTAATTTTTGTAGGAGGTTCTAAACACCTATGAATAGATATTATATTGCTAGGTTTTTTTTCTGGTTGTCCAGGGATCGATTTTAGGTTTTTGATATTTTCTTCTTCTTCTTTTTCTCTTATTGGCCGTTGTCTTAGAGAACAAGATGTATCGAGATGTTCATCATCAGCATTATTATGGTCGCTGTTGTTGTTGTTGTTGTTTTCATTTGATTTTGTTCTGGTCGTCTTGGTCCCGGTTACCTTGGATCATAATTATAACAGAAAATTCTGTTCCATAGTTGTCCGTAGATTATTGCAAACACCACACTCACACACACACACACAAACTAGTTTCTAGTACACAGGGTTACAATAATCAACTTTTTCAATACGATAGTAAAGATGGAAATGAGCAATTCAATGATATTTTATCAACTAACCTAACTTTATCGAAATTATTATTATAATAAAAAAAAGAACCTATTGCCAACAACAATCTAATAGATTGATGACGATTGTGATAAAATAATGATCATGGTTGTATGATTACCGATAAAAATGGTGGTCGTTGTCGACGTAGTGGTGGTGGTGGTAATGATGATAGTTGGAGGTTTTTTTTATTTGGTGACTTTTTGTTTGAAACCAAATTATAGAAACATTTTCACTAATATTCGAGACTTGGAACAAGGACCTCCTGGTTTTTACTTTTATTTTTATTTTAATTTCTCAATGAATTTTTTTTTGTATCATCAAGTAGAATTCAGTATTCATTGATATTGTATGACAACCAGAAATAGAAAAAAAAAATAAACGGTGAATCCAACACCATTGAAAAAAAAATATGGGAACCACAATCAAATGTTACCACCAGTTTTCTGGTTATATATCAACGATTTTATCCCGCCTTCTTTTTGTTTGTCGTGGTATTGTTTAACATACTCTCTATGCTTATTCGATTACTTTTTGATTCAAATTCATTTGATTCATAAGTGACAATTCAAAATTTTTTTAAAAACTAACTTTGGATTCAATTTAATATGCGAAAAAAAAGAAGAAGTTTGAACAACATATATGTGGATTATGTTGGAAAAAAATATCGATCATAGAATTCAAAGATATTTTTTTGTATGCCTGTTACGTTTGCCACGTAGGCCGTTAGAATTGTTGATAATTGTTTCGCATATAAACTCAACAAACATACACAAACGATAACACACCCGTAGAATGTTTGTTGATCATTATGATACCATGGTAACCTCGATCAAAGAAATGGAAAAAAAATTGTTGTTGGATTTTTTTTTCTGATCAACATCATAATCATAATCAGAAAAATCCGATTGCAATGATGGAGAAAAAAAATAGTCAAGATTTTTACTACTTAGAAAGAAAAAAAAATTTCGGATTTAAATTTTTGAAGTATGAAAATAAAGCTTTCTTGATGATTGGTGATCACCTTGGTGATCGATGTTATCATTATTGTTACTGCTATTGTTGTTGTTGTTATAAAAATATTACCAAAAGAAACTAATAATAATAATCATAATCAACATATGTTGTATAGTGGATTCTGTAACCAAGGTATATTGGGTATCTATGGTAGTTATCTATGAACTTTATTTGTCACAAACCCATGGATACCACCGATTGAGTTAAGGAAACAAAGACAAACAAACAAAAAAACAAAGACAAACAAAATAACTATGACAACGATGACTAAAATATAAATAACAACCTGGTAACAATGACAACGATTATAATAATGAAAACCAATGATGATCCAGAATGTACCAAATTGATTCTTCTTCTTCTTCTTTTTTTGTTGTATGAATGTAATAACAGAAAAGAAGAAGAAAAATATTCCAATCACTTTTCAGGCCCACAAAAAAAAAGTTGTTTGTATTTTGAATTCAATAGGTAACCATGGTGATATTTTACTTTTCATTTTCATTTTTTATTAATCACAATATTTATCCGTATTGATAGTTTTCAAATTGATCCATTCATTTTCTATCGCATTCGATCCATTCTTAGAATGAAATCATTTCATGCTGAAAAGATTCTTTTAAAAAGATTTTTAAAACAAATATTCAAATTAGTAGTTATTAAAATGATGAATTTTATGGATTTCATCACTAATTAATCATCATGACTAAGCAACAGATCATTAAAACAAAATTCAAAATATGATGAACATATTCGTTCATACACATTCTATGATAGATGATGATCGTGTCAATTTATATTGGATGCAAATTATAAATGTTTATGTGTTTTGCTTTATTAGTAAAATCAGGACAACACACACACACACACACACTGATTAACTATTTGATGTAACGGTAAAATCAAACAAAACTTGTTTGAATGTTTTTTTTTATTTTTAATATTACAACGTGCACTACGGATACAGCTTACGTTTCCTAAGAAACAGAAAAATCGATCGCATTGTTTGACATTAATTCAAACAGATTTTTAAAAAATTGATCCATTCGGCTTCAATCATTTAATTTTATTATTTAAATAATTAATTTAAAAAATAACGGAAGGAAAAAATTAATTTTTTTTTCATCCAACAAATTAAATAAAATCCTAGAACATATAACGCCATCTCTTATTGAACATGACAATTGTTTGCGGTGTATCATTGAGATCGATTAGAATATTTATCAGAAAAAAAATTGATTCATTATTTTTTAGAAAATGAAAATTTCGCTTCTTGTTCTTGTAATCGTTTCATTTTTCCAGACATTTTAATACCCAAACGTGCAGCTTTATGACAGGTTATATTTTTATTTTTAGCAAATATCACATTAAAATCTAATGATTTTTTAAGTTTATTTTCATTTTTTATTTCTTCGGATTTTTCGTCGTCAATTTCTTTCTTGAGTTTCTTTTTTCTTTTTTTCTTGGAACAACTTTTATCATTGATTTGTTCAATATCATCGTCGGTTTTGTTCGTTATCGTTCCAGCGCTTACGAAATGTTGATTGTAAACTTTATCTTCTTCTGGATTTTCTTCAATATTATCGTCATTTTTTGAGCAGGATTTTGTTTTAACAATCACTCCAACTGATGTGATTTTATATTCAGGTTTTAAACCTTTACTGGCAACATTATATGCTTCTGCCCACCATTGGTTTTTAATCTGTAAAGAATCGGCTATGCTGAATCCGAGACCACGAGTGTCCATTTGAATATTGGGAACAATTGGTTTTACAATACCATTTTCTTCAGCACCTAATCCTTTACCTTCGCTCCATCCCATATTTTTCATCTGTCGTTTTGCAAAATCCATTTTGATCTTGAAGAATTTTGCATGAAACAAAATAGACACAAACTATTGGATCACCATATATTCTTTACAAAAAAAAAATACACGTGTAAAAATCAATTTCCACAATCATGAACTTGAGCTGTCGAAATATCCCAGCGAATCGCTGTCAGGTTCTTTGTTTATATGCATACAATACCATTTTTGCATTGAAGTTTTTATTTATTTATTTTTTGTTTTTATCTCTACCTCTTTGTTTAAAAATAAAAAATGCCGCCAAATAATTGAAAATCAGTGAATTTTTGATAATAATGGCATCTTCGATATTGGATAAAATCAAGGCAAAGTCCAAAATTCGACGAAAACTTTTAGCCCAACAGGTAGTGACAATGTCTTGATTTTTGAATGTTTCTTAAATTTATAACTTTTTTCCCTTTTTCTAATACATCCATAGTTTGGCCTCGAGAATGTTGATGATTTATCCAGAATTCTTGGTTTCGAAAATGAACGTAAAGCACTGCGAATGAGTAAAGAATGTTCATCGATTCGAAAACATCTTGAAAATTCTAAAGCTAAAGTCCATCATAAATCTAATAATAAGGATTTATGCCCTGATTTACTTGGTAATGTGATTGATGAAGAAACCACCTATACAGATTCTAGTACCTTTTTAAAAGTAACTATGAAAAACAAACAAAAAAATTCATATTTAAAATTGACTTTTTTTAGGGTACTCAATCTGCCAATCCTCATAATGATTATTGTCAACATTTTGTTGACACTGGTCAGCGGCCTCAGAATTTTATTCGCGATGTTGGACTTAACGATCGATTCGAAGAATATCCAAAACTAAAAGAATTGATTCGTTTGAAGGATGAACTTATTCAAAAAACGGCCACTCCGCCTATGTATTTAAAATGTGATCTACGCAAGTTTGATCTCAATGAATTACAAACAAAATTTGATGTTATTCTTATCGATCCTCCATTAGAAGAGTATAAACGAACAAATGGTGTGACTAATGTTGATTTTTGGTCATGGGATGATGTTAGTAAACTTAAAATTGAAGATATTGCCGCACCGCGATCATTTATATTTTTATGGTGCGGTTCATCTGATGGCCTAGATCTTGGCCGTGTTTGTCTTCGTAAATGGGGCTTTCGTCGTTGTGAAGATATTTGTTGGATCAAAACGAATATCGACCAGAAAAAGAAACATACTAAGAATCTAGAACCAAAAGCTCTATTTCAGCGTACCAAAGAACATTGTTTAATGGGAATCAAAGGAACCGTACGACGAAGTACAGATGGCGATTTTATTCATGCCAATGTTGACATTGATCTTATAATTACCGAAGAATTTGAATATGGAAGTTTAAAAAAACCAGATGAAATTTATCATATTATTGAACATTTTTGTTTAGGTAGACGTCGTTTAAATTTATTTGGTCGTGATGATATTATTCGTCCTGGATGGCTTTCTATTGGACCAGCATTAACAAACAGTAATTTTAATGCGGAAACTTATCAAAGTTATTTTAACGGTCCAAATGGTCATCTAACTGGATGTACAGAACGAATTGAAATATTACGACCAAAATCACCGCCACCTAAATTGAATAAAAATTCTGGTGGATCCATACGATCAAATTCACATTATTCGGTGCCAAGAAAAATTCAACGAAATTAATTATTCGTTTTTCGAACTAAGCAAAATAATAATAAAAATGCTACCATAAATGACAATAATAAGTCGACATATTTTGCATTTTTATAATGTAATTAATTCAAAACTAAATAATTATTTAAGCAGATTTTTTCATTTAAAATTCATTGTTTGTTATTATTTTTTTTGGTATGTATTATCACACTTCTCTTTACAAAAAAAAAGGTTCAATAAATAACGTTTATTAAGATTAGAATCATTTTATCCGTTTGTTAGGAAGTTTTTTTTTTAAAAAGTCATGTTACAATTATTAAAATTGAAATTGGCAATTATCATTTTGCTCGTGATCAAATCGAATAGTTTTACATCATCCTTGGATATGATTGGATCAAATCCATATGTAAGTTGTGTAGATAATATTTATTCTTTTTTTACAATTTAAGCTAATTTTTTGTTTTATTTAAGGAAAAATGTAAACAATTGCAACAATTAAAAGTTAAGCCTACTTTATTTGTTGCAACATCTATGCGTGTTCTAATATTTACTGAAGATTTTTATGTATTTGTTTTATCATTCGATTCATTGGATCAAAAAGTACATAAATTGAAAATAGATCATATACCAATGCCATTGTTTAGTGCATATCCATTTGTTTGGTATTATAATCGACCATCAGGCCATACACAAAATATAATGAAAATTAATTATTTTATTGATGAAAACAGAGACGAATGGTTATGCTTTCCATTGAAATTTCAAAAAGACTTGACAATTTCTCCATTTATTTATAATATTCAATCACATAAAAAAGATAAAGGATGGTTATATCCCGATTCAATGTATGAATTACAAGAAATATTCATTGCAACTGATCATAATAATTTTCAATATATTGGAAGACGATCTGTGCTTGGAACAGGTTTTGGATTCCATCGTATACATATTAAAAAAAACTATGAACCTGTTAAGGATTTCAAAAACTCAACATTTTATTCTGTTTGTAAATTTTTAAACACACCTGATAGTGATATTTATTTTCAACCTGGTGTATCATGTGGAGATACTGAAGGTCGTTATGCTGTTGATTGGAATGTGATCACCGGATTTGTTCGAAATAAATTATTTTATATTATTACAAATATCGATGTTCTTATATTCAACGATACAATTTATGATCAACACAATAATCGTATAAAATTAATAAGAAAATCACATGAATCATTTTTTTCCTGTGAATATCATCAAAAACAAAATTCATTTCATTTAATTTATCATATCAATATTATTCTATTCATAATATCAATAATTTTATTATGTACATATTTACTACTCATTTTAACAAGAATAATTGTTAGAAAATATATTCGAAAGAAATTATTGAAAAAAACTAAATCATCATTAACAAAACAACAAAAATCAAAAATAAAAATAATATCAAGTCGATTGAATTACAAGAATAATTTATTTCAATCATCACAAGATTCAAACAATTCAGATTTAGAAAATATGAGTGAAGAAGAAAGTAAATAAATTGAAAATAAAATTTGATTAATTTTTCAATTACCAATAAACTCATTGTAAATTTAGAAAATTTAATTAGTAAAAAAAAAGATTTTTTTTTTAATTGTTTAAAATTGAAATAAAAAGCCAAAAATTTATTTAGAAATCAGTAATTCAGCTTCAAATTAATTAATTGGTGTATTTTTGTAAATAATGTTTTTAAACGGTTCAAATCTATTTATAATGGCAATGATGTTGGCTATTAATATCAATATTGTTTTAGCAAATGATGATGATAATATTTGTAAATCAATGCGTAATAATATTGGAGCGTTTAATATATTCAATGTTGGTTTGACCAAAACGAAAATCATATTGGTAACTCGTGATTTTTATGTATTTGAAATGAATAGAACTGCATTCAATTCAAATAAAAAGAAATTGTATTTCACTGATCTACCAATACCGATTGCAAAAAAATATCCTAATCTATATCATAATACTTCATTTCAAGAAATGAAAAATCAAATTATCGATATACGAATATTCACTGGTGATGATGGTGAATGGTTATGTTTTATACCGTTAACGGATTATGGAATTGGTTATAATCTTGCAACAACTGAAACAACAATTTTAACCTGGTTTGTTAAAACAAATGTTGCAAATGAAAGATCATTAGGAACAGATGAAGTATATTACAATTATGTGTTTCGTTATCAAAATGTAACAAATCAATCAAGGGGCTTACAGTTAAACAAAGATGTAATTAGCGATGGTAGAGTGGAATTTGCAAAAAAGGTGAATCTAATCTATGATTGGTCAAGTTTGTGTTTAAATTTAAATAATGAAATATATTTTGGTACATATTGGTGTGAAAACAAATCGGTCGATTGGAATATTACAGGAGGTTTTACTATTGATAATTATTTCTATTTACTTGGAAAAGATTTTGTCTATTCATTTGAGAAAGGGGCATTTTTGGATAGAAAAAAATCATTCAAATTTGAAAAACAAGAATATCGATCATTTATTTATTGTAAAGGTGATATTGTCTCCAAGTCATATAGCAAAATTATTTGGATTATATTATTACTTATTTTATTGTTGCTAATAATACTATGTATTTTACTTTTTGTCAAAATTCGTCGAAGACGTTATATTCGAAAATCACAACCACCATCCAAAAAGGTAGAGGAAAAATTACAGCCAATCAAAACGATGAATGAAAAGAATCAAATGAAAGAAACAAGTCAAAAGATTGCATTGATTCAAAAAATTGATGAAAAAAGTCAAAAGATTCAATTGATTCAAAAAATTGATGAAAAAAGCAAAAAAATTAATGAAAAAAGTAAAAAAATTTCATTGAATCAAAAAACGAATGAAACAAGTCAAAAAGATTTAGGAAAACAATCTAAAACAACAATAGGATCATTGAGAAAAGATAAAAGTAAATTATTTTCCGAAATACCACCATCAATAATATCAAAATTATCAAGATCGGATTATGCTGGTGGATCAAGTACAGTATCTGAATCAATCAATCCTAGATCAAATATTCAGAAACTTTCTACAATAGAACCTTCTGCAATATCATGTCCGTCTGTATTTCCGTCTACCGCCGCTGAAAGTAATAGGTTTGTGTAGCATAAAATTTCAAACAGCAAAAATGAATTTTAAATTTTTTTTTTCCAAAATTGATTGATGAGTAAATGAAAATTAAAAAAAGGAAGAAAAAAAATTAATTTCCATTTTGCGTATATATTTATTGATTGCAAAAAAAAAAGAAAACAAAAACAGAAAATAAAGAAATGATCTCTTAATTCGATTAGAAATCATTATTTATCGATCATTATTTGTTGACAATCAGTATAGTCAGTCAGTCAGTTATTTTTTATTCCTTTGATTAATATCGATAACCAGGAAAAAAAATCATTGAATCCAATTTATCACAATTAATGTTTTGACATTTTCTTTTGACACTATCCATTTGGGAAAACCATTCACACAATCATTTGATCATTTTTTTCTAAATAAGAAACTTTCTGACAATTTTCTTATTCGAAGACTGAATCATTTGCATTGATAATGGCATTGATAAGAGATTCCTTGGATCGGTTTTTTTTTGAAAAAAAATTTTTAATTGATAAAATACGTTATTCTTGAAACAATAACTGGTATCACATTCATTTGATTCAATATAATGATAAATGATAAAAAAAGAAATAAAAAAAACGACCGAAAAATAAATTATCAATCCAATCAAGTTAAATCAATTTGGCATGACTGTGGTGGTGGTGTTGGTAATGTCTATGATGATCGTTCGTTCGTTCGTTTATTTTTTCGTTGTTGATACCATTTTCTTGAATTAAGTTCTCGAATCGAATTTCATTCATTCGAATAGGAAAAAATTAGAGAACCTGTAAATCAGCCAACATTCAAACATAGAAATTCTCAATGGAATTCCATTGCCAGGAATAAAAATCATCAAAACGTCATCAAATAATCTGAACAGAACAGAACAGAACGAACAAAAAAAAATCGATCCAAATTAAGCTTATTTTTGATAGCAGATTGTCAAAATACATTGTAAACGTATAAACGATATAACTATTTTTTTTTTGTTTTGGCCTGGTGACGAAATCTCTTAGGTTAATAATAAATGGCTAAATAGAGAATGGTCAAAAGAAGAGAATTCTGCCTCTCAACATTATTATTATTCATTCGATTCTGAATGGAGCAAAAAGAAAAAAGAAATTCATTCAAAACTAATCTAATTCATGAATCGAACCAATGAAAAATAATCAACAACAACAAAAAAGTAACTGCATAACTTCATTACACACACACAAAAACTACTACTACTTTCTTTCTTTCGATCAATCTGTAATCAAATTTTTAAATTTTATTTTTTTGGTAAAAACTAAATTTATTGAATCACATCTAACTGATGATTTTTTCATTCATTCACTTTTTTCCCTTTATGTGACACAACCGAAACAGAATATTTTCGTTGATTCAATTTACTTTTTTTCATTGTTCATTCATTTATTTATTTATTTATTTAATTTCTGTTTCATGACACATGATTGTCTTAACAATGATAATTTCTATCAACGTATAGAGAGACAGACAGATATATAGTTCAAAAAATTGGTTGTTCCAAAATTCAATTCATTTATTTCGACTTTTGTTTTTCTGTCCAACAAAATCTACAATCGGTTGGTGGTTCTGAACTTTCACCAAATACACACACTTTTATTCAACAAAAATTGGTTTTTGTCCTTATGGTGAATTCACACTATATAATATTTGTCTGTATGTACGGTATACCGAGCTAAACATTCATTTATTTATTCCATCTTTTTTCTCCTGTTTTTCAAAGGAGAGAGAGAATGAAAAAAAAAACAAAACCAGAACCCAAAAACAAAACAAGAAAAAACCGTAGATCGTAAATTCAATTTATAACTTGTCAAATTAAGCCTTAGAGTAATGAATAATTAGATCATTTGATGAATATTTTTGTTTCTCGAGCTACTGTTTTCTATTATATCATCTGTTCATAGCATCGTAGAATTGTAGATATTGTTTGATCACACATTGTTTGATTGTCAATTTTTTTCGGTTAAGGGGGAGGAGATTTGAATTTTGGTTTCAAAATTCAAAAAAAAAATCATCTATATTTGTTCACATTGATAAATGTAGCAGATGATTTCTTTTTTTATGTAAATTCCAATGGAAGGTGACAAGCAAGAAACAAAATGTCATTGATTTCTATCATTGCGGAAAAAAATGTCACTTTTATTTTCTTCATCGAACACAAAAAAGTAAACTTTGAATTTTGGTTTTCCAAATCAATTTTTTTTTGTGGATTTGATTTCGTACCGGTATAGTTTTTTTGTTTTCATTTCATCTTTTACTTTTGCAAATTTCATTATTTGCCTCCGCCTTTATTTGATTTTTTTTCTCGATTAGGTTTTATTTTTCTCGTTTGGTAATACACCACCACCGCCATCCATATACACATCAAAACAAGCACATCAAGTAGTATACCCAATGGATATTAATACCAACCCAATTTCGCCAGTATTCAACATTTCGCCAGTATTCAACATTGGCCATAGACAAATCAATGAATGAATGAATGAATGAAATACGCTCCACCCGTTTTATATATAAAAAATGATGATTACCGCTATATTTTCTATATCGCGTTCTATTGTGGCTAAAAAAACATCAAAGTTTTATTTGGGCGATCGTTCACTTTTAGGCCGAATCAAAACAATGAAAATAAAAGAAAAAAGAAAAATTCTTCATTTCATTCAACATCAGTTCAGACAACATCAATAAAGTTATTATTATGAAGTAATAAAGAATGAAAAGGAAGAAGAAGAAGAAGAAAAAACAATTTTCTGTTGTTGATGACAATGAACTATTATCAGATAGAAATTATCATTGTGATTTTATTATTGAAACGTATAAAATGATTGGTTTTTGGATGAAAATATTTCTTCTTCTTCTTTTTTTTTTTTGAAACATCACTGAATTGAAATTGTTTGTGAATTGTTTTTTAATATATTTCTGTTTGTTTGTCATAATACGAACAAAGTTAATTACAATTACAAAAAACAAAAAGTTAATTTGTGCAATAATTATTGATTTTTTTTCTGTTGTTGTTATAATTTTTTTTTTCATCGTTACAAATAGGTATGTAAATTATTTTATCTTATTTTTGGTTTTGATTTTGTCTTTTTTTTTTGGCATTCTTTTTGTTTGAATTTCTTTGACATACAGAATTTAATCATTAAAATTGAAATTCCATTAATAGATTTGATTGATTCAATTTTTTTTTCTCCGAAAAAACCCTTTTGGTTTGTTTGTTTGTTTTTTGTTCAAATAAACAATTTTCAATTCAATAAGTTTCCGGTCATAGGAAATACATTTGTTTAATGTAGAAATTAGAAATATTTGTTTGAAAAGTTTTTTGTTTTGTTGATAATTTCAACTACGGAAATGTAATCTGTCATTGTCTGATCCATTAGAATGTTTTGTTATCATTGTCCACCGACACTTGCTACAACGATTGGTTCAACAGGAACTGCTTCTGCTGCTGCTTCTGTATCAACTGGATCAACACACTCTAATCATCATTCTCATCAACAACATCAGAATCATCATCATCATTCCAATTCAAACGCTCAACAACAACATAATCATCATCAACAACAACAACAAAATTCATCACCGACCGCATCTATTTCAGCAGCAACAGCAGCAGCAGCAGCCGCTGCAGCCGCTGCCGCAATGTCAAATACAAGCCTTTCAACATTATCAACACTTTATTCGGCTGCTGGTGCATCGCAATGTAAGTAAATTTTATTTTAAATTTCAAAGAAATAAAATGATGACGATAATAATTGAATTTTGTCACAAAAAAAATCTGATGAATAGAAATTTTCAAACCTTTAATGCTATTAGAAAGAAAAAAAAAGAAAATTATTTTTTTCAAATGAAAAAAAAACTTAAATGAATTTCATTGTAATCAACAGCAAAAATCCAGAAAAAAATGGATGTTTTATTGATGATGATTAAGAATACATATCGGGTTACAATTTTACACAACAATTTTTTTTCTTTATCAAAAAAATTTGTCAAATCAACGAAATCAACTGTTTTTTCACAACAAACAACAAACAAAATTAAGGAGCTTAAAACAAAATTTTGTTTCAATTGATGTCAGCAACAACAAAAAAAAAAAAATGATTGCATCTTCCATTAAAATGGTTTGGAAATTTGATCTACTTGGGGTATTGTACATCTTGGATTCATGAAAGGGGGGAGAAAAACGAAAGTGGAAAAAATTTTAATTTAATTTAATTGAAAAAAAACCCTCACCATTGTTATCACCATTCATCAACAGCTTTTTTATTTATTTATTTATCGATTGTTAACATTGTCATCATTTTTGATGATGATGTTGAATTTTTTTCAAATCGAAATTCTAGACCCCCCGAAAAATAGTGAAAAGAAAATAATTTTTGCTTAAAATTTTTTTTCTGCAGATTCATCATTCAGTTCGATGTATGGTTCAAATGTTGATGGATCGGATGAAGCATTTATTCGTCGAAAACAACGTAGAAATCGTACAACATTTAGCGTACAACAATTGGAAGAATTGGAAAAAGCATTTGCCCAAACACATTATCCTGATGTGTTTACTCGAGAAGGTATACGATTCGTTTCATTTGAATATCTTATCATTCATTAAACTTTTGATTGAATTGTAATTCATTTTTTTTTAATTTTGTTGGTAAACATAGATTTAGCAATGAAAATTAATCTAACTGAAGCAAGAGTACAAGTTTGGTTTCAAAATCGAAGAGCAAAATGGCGTAAATCTGAACGTCTTCGTAAAGAACGTGAAACAAATGGTAATGATGATCATTTATTGGATATAGGATCACAATCACCAACTATTAATATTGATGTAGCATCAGCTGAAATGAGTTCGACACCTAGTACAAGTCCTGATACGAATGATCTAAAAGATACAGATCGTTTATTGACCGCTGATGATCATTCATTAATACGAAACAAAATTAAATCGGATGATGAAAATCATACGCCAACCAATGATTTATCAATAATCAAACATAAACAATCAAATTTTCCAATAAGTTCATTGATTGCAAATAATAATCGAACTAATAGTGTTAATGATTTTGGTCAATCATCATTTATTTCATCGATTAAACATCCATTTTATCAAGGAGGTGTTCATTCATTATTTGATCGTAGTCCATTTTTTCGTGAAATTTCAATGTCTCCTCATTTTTCAGTTCCAACATTCAATTCAATTCAAAATTCGCTGTTTGCCAGTGCATTTAATAACACTGGAAATGATAAGTAAGCACTGTTTGTTAATCTTTCAATGTTTTTTTTTCATTTCGTAGCTTATATTTTATTTCTTATTAATAATTAGAACGGGATTTAGCCAATCAAATTTTGACAATATGTTAAATGCAGCAGCTATGGCAGCTGTAACTGGACATAATTCTGGTTGTACACGATTTTCGGCAACAATTCCACCTTTATTTATGGCAGCAGCAACAGCACCAACAACATCATCATCATCAACAACAACAGCATCATCAATTTCATCTTCACATACTTCAAACAATCAATCTAATTCACCATCAATTTCACAATTTTCACCAAATAGTCATCATCATAATAATAATCATAATAATCATCCATTTTTACCATTTTCTACATCATCAATTAAACCAACAATCAATAATGATATTCTGCGATCATCTTTAGATCAACAACAACAACAACAACAACAACTTTATAGACGGACATTATTATGCCAAAATGGTGATAATAATGGTGATAATAAATCACCACCACCACCTATAACCAATATTATAACTGAAACAACAAATTCAAATTCTAAATAATAATAATTTTTAAAAAAACTTTAAAAATGACTTTATAGATTTTTAGTATTTATTAAAAATATTAATTTAAAAAAAAAAGAATATTCCAAATAGAAATTGAATAAAAACAAAAATCTTATCAATAATTTTTTTTTGGTTCTTGGAAACAATTAATTTCCCATTCAATTTGACCATTATAATGATTTTTGACCATTCGATCATCATTATAATATAATATTAATGATGTTTTTGATAGATTTAAACATACAAACAAAGAAAAAGAAAAAAGAATAAAGTATAATTATCATTGTGATGATTTGTCCACCATTTGAAATTTATAAGAGAGAATGATAAAAATGAAATATATATTTCTATAAATAACAATGGTAATTAATTTTAATGATTGAATAAAATTGTGTTGATAATATGTCATTATTGCTTTGTTTTGATTTTTTTGATGTTTGTTGTTGTTGTTGTTGCTGGTGGTGAAAAAAAAATCATCATTATCATCAATAAATCTTATGTAATTCATAACGAATGAATAAATAAAGTTATAATTGAAACATAGAGATATCGTTAACGAATTTGTGCCTAAAACCATATGAGAGAGAGAGACAGAAAAAAAACATATTATGTTTGGTAAAATTTGCTTGTTATCGTTGATTCATTAGTCATTGTAGAATAATATTCTCGACCAAACAAACAAACCAAAAAAATGGATCCAATTGAATTCAAACATTACCTTATTACTATTATGCTTTTTTATTTCAATTTTGTTTTGTTTTGTTTTTCCTTTTTAGTTCAACCAAATTTTTTTTCTATGTACCAATTTTTGTCAAAATTATCATCATTATTATTTTGAATTGCCCTCTAGGCCCGTGTCAATCTTTTGGTTTTCACTTACATTCAGTGAAATGAAGTTCACAATGGGAAAGAATAATGAAATACATTTGAATGAAACTTATTCAAAGAATTTCACCTAACAACAATAACAATAATAATGATGATGATGATAATCACAAAAGAGAAATCTAATTCCAAAAAAGAAAAATAGTGTGAAATGAAATTGAAATCACATCACCATCGATGATTTCATTTTGACTTTTATGTCGATGGTGTTTTGTTGAATCAATGCGGTCGATTTCATTCGGGATTTTTTTCTTTTCTTTCTTTCATTATTATCATTTTGCAAATATTATTGTTTAGTTAGTGTTTTCTCTCTCACTCTCTTGCTGATGACAAAAAAAAAATCCACCGTATTTTGTGTTTGAGTTTTTTTTATGGATCATTGTGCATCGATTCTTCTGAATACTTTTCTCTATATTTGAATTTCGCTTAGTTTACGATTGAGTCAATGAGAATAGGTTCATGTCCCTTGTGAGTGATTAACATTCGATTTTCTTTGTATCATCATCATCATCATCATCATCATCGACTGGACCTATTCATCGTCAACATCGAATGATGATGATGATTGTTTCATAATTAACACTATATTCAAACCAAAAAAAATTTCAATTCTATGTATGATGTTCGAATGATACCAAAATCAAAGAACACAAAAAGAAAAACTCAACCAAAATTATAAGAATCTCTTTAGTTAGTCGTGTAAAGAAAGTAGAATGAATTTGTGATTATTATCATTTGACTTGACTTTAGATGAATCCCAATGTGAACAAATTATTTAATGATAATAAACTCATTTTTATCTCTCTTCGCTCTCTCTCTCTCTTAGTTTATATTATTATTATGTTTATTTGTTAATAAAATTACTTTATTCAACAATGAACGTACGCACACTATTATTATTATTATTCTTTATTTTGGAACCTTAATGTCATTATCGTTTTTTCTCTCTCTCTCCCAAGATTCCAGTTGATGTTAATTACAGGAATAACAAAAACAAAAACGAGAAATGTTTTTTTTCTCGTTTCACTCAACAACAACAAAAAAAAAGCTTGATTCACATTGAATTAAAAGCAAAACAAAAAGAGAAAAATGTGCAATCAAACTGGGAATTCTATTTATTTTTTTCAGGCAAAAAAACAAAATTAAATAATTTGACTATTTTTTTTGGATGCAATGCATCATCATTTCATTTCATATTATAACTAGGTTAATTGATTAACTACCATTCACTAAACAAAATTATTATTATTATTCTCAAAATATAAAATATTCAAATCAATTCTTTATATTCTTTGATCATTATATTAATCAGATGAATGTTTTTTGTTGTTGTTGTTGTTTTGGACATTAATATCATAATTGATTCTATGAAAATTGATTTATAATGATGATGGAGAATGGATTGCATACACCATAAACATCAACACAACAACAAAACTCAAATGATTCAGAATGAAATTCTATATAAATAAAAATGATAATGAAAGAAAACAAAATAAAAGATAATAATATTATTATTATCATTAATGAAGTTTTCTTCTGTACTACTATTTTCAAATATCGGCAACCAAACAATCAATCAATAATAATAATGATAATAAGAAAAGGAAAAAAAAATTATCAATTTTATTTATTCATACGATCGAATAGATTTGAACTTTTATTCTTGTTGTTGTTTGTATGTCTACAAACAGTATAAGTGAGTGTGTGCATGTGTTTTAGTCTATTTCGTTCAAATTAAATCTATAGAATCTAATGAATATCTAATGATTCTCACATTCATTCATTCAATATGACTTTTTTATTCACAATCTACGAAAATATAATTATATGGAATTGGAAAATAAAATAAAATAAATTTCTTCATTTGTTAAATTAATAAGCAAATGATTGTGTTTGGTGTGTGTGCGAGATAGAGAGAATATAGGGAATTTGAATTACGAAAAAACAAAATAGAAAGCTTGATCTATTGTGTTTGTTTTTTTTTACTGATGTGTGATCGTAAAAAGATTCTGATATACATGATGGTGGCCAAGGTTAAATTGCATATGGTGCATGCATGTGTGAGAATAATGATGATGATGGTGACGGCGTCAACAATGTTAATTGAAAACAAATCTAATTTACATTTTTGCAAATTTATTTTTGTTCATTAACTTTTTTATTTTCGAAGAATAATTTTCATTCTCGAAAGATTTTTTCTATTTTTATCCGTAAATGTTGTTATCCCAATTCAAGATTTTTTTTTTGTTGTTTGAAATCGATAACGATCAAAACAAAGAAACATCGACAATCGACATTGCCTTGAGCATTGTTCTAATGATTCTTGTTGAATCATTGTTGAACAACAACAACAACAACAACACGATAATTTAAGTTCAATTCAAAAACATTTTCAACAAACAAAAAAAAATGATAAACAATCAGAATGAAAAACAAGAATTTTTCCTTTTTTTACTCGGGCAATATTGTTGATTTGAAAAGATGCTTTTTTTTCTTCAACATAGTTATCGTTGAAATCAACTTTTGATGATTATATTATTCATTTTTTTTATTGAAAATTTTTTTCCATTTCTGATCAATTTTGTTGTTGAAATTGTCGAATTGATATGAATAAAATATAGAATTTATTATATGTATCGAATGTCTGGAGAGAGAGAGAAACGATTCTTCTTCTTCTTTTTTCCATCATTTTTGTTTGATAACCAAGACCAGAAAAATTTAATGTAATATTGAAAATATCATCATCATCATCGTCAACATTGAATAATCTAATAATTTACAAATGGCGGCAATGGTAATGTATAATTAATGAGAAAAACATTATCATCATCATCATCATTTCAAACAATTTTCATCATCGATCATTCATTCATATTGAATTTGATAGAAATGTCAATATTGAATATATTCTAGGTAGATATTTTTTGTGTCCGTTCAAAGTGTTATATATATGCACAACCGAATTAAAAAACAACAAAAAAAAAATGGAAAATTGAAGAAATCAACGGAAAAAAAAGGGAAAAGAAAATTAAATTTAAATGATCAAGTTGAAATGTCATTAATAATTAAATTGTTTCGACTAACAAAAAACAAAACAAAACAAGAACAAAATACAAGATATACTGCGATTCTTTTGCCCATTTTGTTTTTTTTTGTTTTGTTTCACATTCTATTAGCATCCTATCCAATTGAATTCACAGTGTGTTCCGAATAGTAGAAAAAGCAGAATACAAATAAAAACAGAAAACAGTTGGTTCAGGATATACTTTATCCATCAAACAAACCTACATACAGACGGCTGTATATCAAACACCAATGTATGGCAAAGGAAAACGAAAGGAAAAAAATTTGATTAAATATTGGACGGTAGGACTACATTCATACAGACGGTATGCATGTATTATCAAAATCTAATTATGCATATGATAGATTTGTTTTATTAGTTTTTGTTAGTTTATGAATGAATGAATGAATGAATTTTTGCTGTCAGAACTATAGTGAATAATTCTAGTGTAATAATAATTACATTTTTGTTAATTTCAAATTAACGCGTTCGCTACCGGAGATTTCGAAAAACACATAGAACTACAGCAAATAAACGACGCATATATGCGTCGCTGGTAGCGAACGCGTTAATATAATTAATAATTTTTTTTTGTAAAATTTTTTTTAGTTATTGTTGTTCATTTGTAATTAAAAAGAAAGAAAATCTTGATTGCAGAAGTGAATTGAATTGAAGAATTTTGATGATGATGAAAAATAAAAATTGAAAAATTACCTTCCGGGCATTTCGGTTGATGTACGAAAATTAATTGTCACATTTTCATCATCATCATCATCATCATGTCATGCAGGACAAATCAAATCAAAAGAAACAACAGCAAAAAAAAACGTAATAAAATTTTCGAATCCAGATGTGTCTCCAAAATTCTAAATAGTGAAAAGAGAGAAAGAGAGGAAAAGAAAATTCATTCAGTTGGCAGTTATACCATGGGCCATGAAACTGAAAAAAAATCCAGTCAATCATATTCTTAAATTAATCAATTTTTGTTACATTAGTCAAACTGAAGAATAAGAGATGTGAATGTGAATGATGATGGAAATTTGATCTTGAACGTGATTCTTTAACTTGACATACGTACATTTGATGATGATGATGATGTGAAATTAAATAAAAGTCTAAGCAGAAAATAAAAATTTTCATAGTAAAATAATAAATTATATTAATTGTTAATCATATTATTATTATTATTATTATTATTATTTCTATCATCATCATCAATAAGCTAATATAAATATAAATTTGATTCTGTGAATAAAAATGTTAAGGTCTCGTCTGGTCGGTTAGATTCAATCATTTGTATTTGAATGAATGAATGAGGATGATGATAATTGATTTATTTTTTTTTGTTGTTGTTGTTCCTGTACATAGAATTAACACATGTATCGTTTGATGTTGTGTGCCACATAAATAATATTGATAATTTGAAATGAATTATTTCGTTTGCTTTTTACCCAATTCACAGAGAAAATTTCATTTTTGCTGATGAAATTGAATACAAGAATAATTTCTATTCAATTATATGATTATCTGGTTATATTTATCTTTCTTTCTTTCTTTTTTTCTATTGAATTTGTTGTTGTTTCTACTATAATATTCGATTCAATTGCCGATTTTTGTTCAACGTTTTCATCTTGTTTGCCCATAATCTCATCAAAAATCAATAATGATGTATCAGATGTGTCAATTTGATTGGAAGAAACTAAAAAAAAAAAAAAAAATTAAAAGCTAAATGCAAATGTTTTTCGGCTTTGGATAAAGTCATCACATCCTTTTTTTTTGGTTGAAGGGGGAGAGACAAATATACATTCATTAGGTAAAAGTCGATTGACACAAAGGAATTGGAAATTTCTGTTTTGGTAGCCATCCGGGAGATCCATATACACATGTACCAGACACACACACACACTCGACAGTCATCATCTGAAACAAGCGAGAACAATCAAACAACATCAAACAAAAAACAACATAATGATTCGGAAATACAAAACAATAACAATCATTCAATGAATAAGAGTGAATTAGAGGAGAGTGAGAGAGAGAATAATCCAAAAAAACATTGATCTTGATAATGTCAATAATGATGATGATGATGATGATTTCAATTGTCATTGTTGTTGTTGATTTTTTTTATTCTTTTGTTTGACCATTGCACACGACTTATTCAAAACAAGAACAAAAAAAAAAGATAAGAGTATGGTGTTGATGTTATTGTGATATAACAATACAATCACACCCACACACACCATCGACAAATGATTATTTCAATGTAAAAAATGTCAAACATTGATTGTCGAATTTGTTAATGTGCGTATTTTTTCTTGCAAGTTTTGTTTAAAGCTGTCAAAAAACAAAACAAGAATTTTTTTTCTCTTTCTTTTCTTTTGTCACACGAAAAAGATTCTCGAGATGCATTTTTGACATGATGACGGAAATTGTCGTATGTTTTACTGTCTTTTTCATTCACTCTTTTATTCTCTCTCTCTCTCTCTCTCCCACTCTCTGGTTCTTTTTCATTTTCATAGTCGTAGTGCAATAATAGTGTTATGCTAATTTCTCAAAATGAAGTGATAGAAAATAAAATTTTATTTGTCACACGTTCCAGTCTGTTTTCATTGTATTGATCATTTGAATCTTTAATGTTGTTGTTGAAATTTGAAATAGTTTTGTTATCGATTTTTTTTATTCTTCTGGTTATGCAAAGTCAATTCCGAAACAAATTGATAATGTGTATAATGGAAACAAATTCCAAATGAAAAAATCAAATATGATGGTGGTAAATAAATTAAATTCTTTGAAATTTTTTATTATAGTTGCAAAAACAGAAATGAAAAACCGCCATTCACATCTTTCATTTGAAAATGAAACAAGTTGGATAATATCAAAGGAATATAAATATCGATAAGGTTTGATTTGTGTTTTGAAATAAATTGTTTTTACCTTTTTTTTAAACAATTAATTTTGTTGTAGGATAATGTTGTTTTTTAAAATTTCTGGCCAATAAAATAAATGTGTGTGTAATCAACAAATTACGATGAAAAGGAAAAGAATCATCCATTTCACCATTAACCAAGGTTTATAGGTTTTTTTTTATCCAAAACAATTTTGGGCTGAGCATTTGATGACAATTTTTTCCATACACACATTCTCTCTTTCCTTCTTTTGTTATTGCTGTTTTGTCATTCAATTTAAATGATTCAACCGCCCCACACCATCATCGTACAAAACAAATAACCAAAATTACATCACATCACAATAAAAAAAAGGAAAATTTCTTTAGAATCAGTAGAAAAATATTTACCGCCTAACTCATATTTATTAGTATTAAATTGAAAAACAAAAATTGAAATCTATAGGATAAATTTTGTCCTTTCTGCTTCGATAATAATGGCAACATTATTATTGTTATTGTTATTTGAAAATGATGATATTAATTTTACAAAGATCACATCATCGCATCTACGGAATTGAATATTTTTGTTTTTTTTTGAACAAAAATAAATGGAAAAATCTAATGATAATTAATGGCATTTTAAATCGATCCAACCAAAAAAACAAACTAAAGTAAATTCATGTTGATCCCTTTTCTCGTTACTGTTCGTTGATTTTCATCATCATCATCATCATCAAAACTTTAAAAAAAACTAGATCATCATTTGAAGTATTACCATTGGTGATTGTAAAATTGAAAATGCGAAAAAGAAAAAGCAATTTTCGCACAAAATAATAATAAAAATAAATTTTTTGAATCACGTTATTTTTCATCGTTATAATAATAATAATTTTTGAAAAAAAAGTCAAAATAATCTTTTCGCCCCACCAGTATTCACTGCCCGTGTATTTACCGCAACACCTAACATGATGATGATGATGATGATGAATGGAATTGAATGAAAATAAAATAAAATGATGATTATGATGAAAATTTGTGGTTTATTTTTCCTGATTCCATATGGAAAAAACAACAACAACAAACGATAATCCTTATTTCGATGAGGAAAACAAATTCAGTATTCTAATAGTTTTCATAATAATAAATAATTTCACGCAACACTTGCATTTTCATTCATTCATTTTTTCTATTATGTTAAATTTACTTTCACTTTACATCTCCAGAGACATTATTATTTTTTGGCCATATTTTTTTTATTAGTCACAAAAAAATATGGATGATGATCATTATTTAACCCCGAAAAAAGAAAAAGAAGAAAAATGATTGCCATTCTTGTTTTCGGTTGAAAATAAATTGAAAATCTTATTTTATGATTGAGTCAATCAGATTGATGAAAATTCTATGGACCAGAATAAAAAAAAGGTTAATTATTCAATTACAATCGGAAAAAAAATAACAACAACAACCAAATAATGTGAAATTCTGATAAAAAGATAGAAAACTCAGAATGCAGAATGCAGAAAATCAATTGAATTTTCAATCAATTTTTTTCTGCTTACTTCATATACTCAATAATACCATAAATCATTTAATCAAACCTAGCAAAGAATTTCATTATATACAAAAAAAAAAAACAATATTGTAGATAAAAATGATATCCGAATAGTTTATTTCAATACCATTCATAAATGTACTTGTGTAAACATTTTTTGGACAAAATACAATTTTCATTTCATTTTATTTGTTGTTTAATATATATGAATGAACGAAAAAAAACAAAACAAACAAATTTTTTCCTGTTCACTTTCCATTCAATTAATCAACAACATCCGGTCAATAACGGTTTTTTTTGTTTGGTAGTGTCCATTCGGGAACATAAATAATAATGATGTTAATAACATCAAATATATAGTTGATGGTAATGGACCGAAGCATGGTTACTATTCTGTGTTTTTTTCTGCACTGGTCAAAACTGAACAATTCAAATTTCTAATAATTCTATTGTATGATGACCATTGGTCAAAAAAATATAGAAGAAATTTGTTGTTATTCTGTTAACAATTTCTAAATCAATCATTTCATTCGAAATTTACTAAATAATAACAACAACATTAACAACGACAAACAGGAAAACGAATTCATTTAGGAAAAAGTTTACAAACAGAAGAAGAAAAAAACAAAGGAAAAGGAAATAACAAATTCGATTGAAAATTGTGATGATTAAGATAATGATGATTACATATGGGGAAAAAACAGTGTTTTTATTTTTCTTGTTTTCAATCGACAATTCATAATCAAGTTAATTTTTATTTTCATATGAATCACATTCGGTTTTTATTTATTCATTTTTGTTTTACAGAACACAATGGTTTATTGAAAAATATTTTTTTTTAATACAAACAAATAATATTGAAATTACAAATAAGTTATTCGACTTTGCATGTCCGAAGAAAAAGTTTACGTTCAGCTTCTGGAATCAAGTTGGATAAATCTAATGGGAAAAAAAATTTTTTTGATTAATTAAACAGATATAGAAAAAAATTTACATACCTTTTAACATAATATTTCGTTTATCACCACGAATATTTTCCAGAATAAAATTCAATCGCATTGCTAAATAAATTGAATTCCGTTTCTTTCCATATACTCTTAATGTTTCACATAATTGTCGACATTTACCCGGCTGATACATTATATGATTTAAAATCATTTCAAATGCTTGAATACTTTGTTCATTTTTCAAAATAGTTTCCTTTATTTCAATGATTTCTGTACAACCTAAATCAAAAACATCTTTTGGTTTGACTTGTTCTTTAACTGGTGATGTAAAAGGCTTAGTAAAATACTTTGATGAACGATCATTAGTCAATCCTTTTTGTTTAATTGATTGATGATCATCCGTTTCTTTTTCATCGGGTGGATCATTCTCTTCCGAACTAGATCGACTTTTTTTATTACATTCATCGGCAAATGAATTCTTTTTACGTTTTGATATGATTTTTTCTTCATCAAATGAATCGAAAATACTCAATTTTGTATCATTATTTTTGTTGATGACCATTTTTGACTTGGTTGGCAATTTATCTTTGATTTTGGTATAATCAGAAACCATATTACTGAACACATTTTGAATTTCATTATCATTATCATTATCATCATTTTGATTTGATTGTTTGACTTTTAGTTCGCGTTTTGGTTGAGGTAATCGTACAGGTTTTTCATTTTTGTATTCTATAACATCGCATACAGCTGATGATCGTGAGAAAAATTGATCAATCTGTTGAATTTGTTGCGAAAAACTTAAACAAGCATTTTGACGATTAAAGAATGGAAGTATCCATCGCGAGAATCCATCATATAATGCTTGAAAACGACTATCACATAAAATGATCAAACCATAATCATTTTTATGGCGAATGACTCTGCCAACTGATTGATTTAATGCACGTTTCATCTGAAGAATGTACCATTGTGAACCAGTTAATCGGCATTTGTTTTCATTCAGATATTTTTCTTTAAGTACAACTTTAGGATCAAATCTAGCTGGATAAGGTAAGCTTATTATCATAACGGCACGACAATAATTATCACTTAAATCCATGCCTTCCGAAAGTTTACCACGTGCAACACCCATAAAAATAGCACCTTCTGGTGTTTGATCGCAAGCATATTTAAATGATTCAATCATTGGATTAAATTCTCGTTTGTTTTTTGGTTCGACGAAAATTTTTTTCACTGAAGAAATCGATGTCCAAAGTTTTCGTGATTTCCATTCTTCAATACATCGATTTATCAATGAATATGATGAGAAAAAAATAAACATTCCTTTTGGAACTTTTTTAGCAATCGCTAGAATTGTATAACCAAGACCGGAATAATATTTTAAATCATCACGTCTATCGTATGAACCACGAAGTTCATGACCATTCGGATCTTTAGCAATCAATTGTATTGATAATTGATTATCAGATATTACATGAGAATTCTGTAATTTAACTTTAAATGGAATGCCCATTTCCAATTCAAATGATTCAAGTGGTGACAATGTACCGCTGGTTATGATCAAATTATATATTCCGGCACGTTTTAATGATTGAATCGCAACACTTGGACTCATGCACCTACAAAATGAAAAAAAACGGTCAGATTTTCGGAAGAAATTAATAAACAAGAAGGCATTCACCATAGATAAACGGTCCATCCATTTGGAACAGAAGTATTCAACCATGTTTTCTGGTAGTGACTTTCCTTATCAATTTCAGTATATAATTTATAATTTTTAATGAAATCTAATTTTTTCGATGACAATGTTTCACCTTCTTTAACCAATGTGAATGGTTGGACAATTTCGAGAAATGAACAGACCGATGATAAAGCAGCAATCGTTTGATTGGATAAATAGGCTGTTGTGGCACTCATTACAACCGTATTTATCTTTTCACAAATTGAGGTGACCAATTCAATATGTTCATGATTTAGATTAACTCGATGTAAAATATTAAAAATTTCATGAGTATCATGTGAACCTTTATCTTGTTTCTTAACTAAACGGTCCAATTCTTCTTCCAAATTACATATAATCAATTTAACTTTGGCAACATCGTGCATATCCAGATCGGATAATTCTTTACTATTAAGATCATCATATTTACCATCTTTCAATTCTTTTAATGATTGTAATACAAGATCAAATGCTCGTAAAAACAATACCAATGTTTCAGATTTTAATTCAGTAGACATACTATCTTCACAAACACGTTCAATATTATGACCTTCATCAAAGATGATAATAGTATTTTCGAGATTTAATTTTAATGTTTTACGAATGGATGGATCGAGTATATAATTATAAGGCATAAATGTTAATGAAGTATTATAATCGGTTAACGCTTTAGACATATAATATGGACATGCTTTATGTTCATTACCAAATGCAATTAAATCTTCAATATCATAGATTTTTGAACCACAAAAACTTAGATCAGAAACTTTACGTTCATAATTATGATGATAAGAACAAAGATTATTTTTAACCTTATGACGACAAGTCTGATTTTTAGCTGTGATATGCTCAAGATTCATCACATCAGGATTAATACATAATTGATCACGAGAACCGATTGTAACACTGGGACAAAAATTATAATAAGAATTTTTCAGTTCATTGGAAGCCTGATTTAATTGCGAATGTGTACGAGAACTATAAATGATTCGCAATCGATTTTCTTGTTTCCAGCCTTTTTTCCCATTCTTTTTCTTTTCTTTTTGGCTAGTTTGATCCTTATCAGAGATGATCAAATCTTCGGGAAAGACAATATTTTTAGGTGTAATTTCTTCGATTCGTTTTGAATCTAATTCCAGGAATTTTCGACTTTCAAGCCAGGCAAGTGTAGAACAAAGTAATGATAATGTTTTACCTGTACCAGTAGGACTTTCGAGTAATGCATTTTGCCGCTACAAAATTTAAATAAGATTCAAATCATTAAAATGTATGTTACAAATCAAACAGACTTACTTCATTTAATGCTTTAATAACCGCATTCATATAATCAACCTGTATATCATAAGGTTTGAACGGAAAAATTACCGTAATACCACCGATGTCTATATCCATTTTTGAAATTATTGAAAAATGAAAAATTTCACTTCATTGACGACTCAATTTGCGCCAAAATTAAAAAAAAAACAACGTCGGCTGTTTTGTGAAAACTATTTACACATTGTTGAAACTACCCAAATAGATGACGCTATAATCAACATTGAAAATCGAACACAAACACAAACACACATTATCCTGAAACACTTCATGGATCATGTTGCTTTGTTGTTTATTTTCTTTTCTGTTTTTTTTTCTGTTTTGTTTTGTTTTGTTTTTTTCCCTATTGTTGTTGTTATAATCATAACAATGTTAATTTGTTGAACTTTTGTGACATTTTTCATTCATCCATTAGCATTTTTTGTTTTTGTTTTAATGAGAATATTTTCTCACCAAATATGATGAGCCAATTAAAATTTTTCGAATATTAATGAAACATGACATGAAGACATTTACAAAAAAAATGAAGAAATTCCATTAAATTTAACAACAAATAAATCGATCATCTGAATGCTCAAATTTTATCCAATTCTACGATCATTCATTCATTCATTCATTGTTTATTCGATTCATTCAACTTTGAAAATTTGATAATGTTTTGATTTTTTTTTTTTTTTGGTTCTTTTAAAAATAATTTTATCATCATCATCGATTGATTTACACCAGTGATTCTCAACCAGTGTGCCGCGGCACTTTGGTGTGCCGCGAAATTCTGAAAATGCAACTGTTATATATTTAAAAATTCTAAAATTGTGCCGCGACAACAAAAAGGTTGAGAATCACTGATTTACACATACATACACGCGAAATAAAATGTACCATGACTTTGATCATTTTGTTCTTGTAAATCATTTTTGGCCATTGAATTGGCTGAATTTCATTGCAAATTAATCATACGCGTACATAGCGAATGGCAAAATTGATTTTTGAATTTTTTTTAACAATAAAAGTGGTGATCACCGGTTTGAACCTCAAACAACCAGCCTCAAAAGAATAGATTATTATCTTTGATTGAATCCAATGGAACATAATTATCATCAATTTCAGGTTTGTACATTTATTTTCACCATTAACAAATAACTTTCATTTAGCTAGACTTTTTTTTTGGTGATGTAACCAATTTTGTTTCCTTATCTTTATTTGATGATTATAATTCTCTTGTATTTCGTCATTTATAATTTGAAAAAAATAATGAAGCACGCAAATATTAATAAAATTCATATATGCCAAATGAATTCTTGTTAACTTTTTCTCTCTCTCTATCGATCATTTCTCATCATCATGTTAGATTCGATTATTTTAAGTCTTTTTTTTTCTTGTTTCAAAAATTTGGTATCGAAATGAAAAAAAGACGGGAATACAGAAAGAAAAAAAAAACCAATTAAATAGATTGTTATTTTTCCGGGTAATCATCCTTGAGTCAACGATTTTATTTTTCTATTCAAGATAATTATGAAATTGTGCAAGTTTGCGTCTGTGTGTCGCAAGAATTTTTTCGGAAAAAAAGATCCATGATTTTAAAGAGAATTCATATTTTTTTTGAAAGTCCGTGCATAATCAAGAATATATTGATTTATTTTCACTAAATTCAAGGCTAAGTGGTCTGAGTGATTTTTCATTTATTTATTTATTTATTTACTTTGTTTGTTAATTATCATACAATAGATAGACTAATGAATATTATCATTCCAAGAATTTAATAATTTATTTTCCTTGTATATTTGCATATATATTGCTTGAAATTTTCATTCGATCATTTTTTCTTCATCATCCAATAAACGTTCGATAATGTCGATTTTTTTTTCTTTCTTAACTGATAGGATCGATAAAATTGTGTAATCCATTTACAAACAAACATTGATAATATTTTATGATCCAAACAAAAGAAAAGAAAAAGAACAAAAGAAAAAAATTTTCTTTAAAATATCATTAATCTAACATGTCGGGTAAATGTACCACAAATGATCATAACGATTTAAGATCAACAAAATCACCCTCTCATCTATAGTAACAACCTTGATTATATCAGAGAAAAAATAATTTATTTGTTGTCTTTTTGACATCGACAATTTTCTTTTAAATCAACAAACAATGATAAATTCAATGTTTATTTCCATGACATTTACTTTTTTTTCTGGTTGCTTAGGTTGTTTTTGGTGAATTCAAAAATTTACTTTGGTTGCCCGGTTGATTGACATTGATCGATTTGGATAAGACTTAGAATTTCGTAAGAAATCAAGGTTGTTAACGGTTTTTTTTCTATTCCACAGTTTTTTTTTGTGGATTCAAAAACGAAATTCAGCATTCGATTTTGAAAAAAATAATAATTTTTATTCAATTTCATTGATAGTGATTAGTCACTATGATAATGATAATGATGTGAAATCATTTTTTTTAAATAATTCAATTTAAAATAATTAATTATTTGATGATGATTATGATGATGATGATGATATCGACCCAATTTTCTTTTTTTTTCTTTTCTTTTTTGTTTCTTATCGAGGATAATTTATTTTTTCTGGTTCTGTTTTCATTTCATTGAATGTCTCATTTCGTGTATGCATATAATCTATCAATGTGACTTGTTTATCTTTTTTTTTATATTTGTGAATAATGATTGTATAAAATGAATTCAGATCATCATCATCATCATACACGACTGTATCCTATATCCATCATCAAGTGATTAATAATGAAAATTCATTTCACATTTGGATATGATTTCATCGTTTTTTTTTTGATGTTTGAAGAGATTTCGAAAAAAATACGGCATCATAATGATATATACAATAATTTAGGTTGATATCATTATCATTGATAATTATTGATATTCATTGATTGATTAATCTATTTGATTTGATTTGATTGATTCGATTGTGCAATATCTCTATTCCCCCTTTCTTTCTTTCTTTTTTTTTTACAATCATAATTTTTTTTCTATTCTTTTCTTCTTTCTCTTATACGACTATTCAATTATGATGATGATGATCCATAATAAATATCATCATTTATGATGATTATTATTATCATCAAACAAAACAAAAAAAAATCATCCATCTACACTTGAATATTGTTGAAGTAGTGTGTGTGTTTTATCCATCCATCCATCCATACTTTATTATCATTTTTATTTATTGCATTTTCCGAACATACATTATGATAATATTTTAAATATAAAAAAAAAGATTTAGGTATCATCAATATATTAGTTGGAATAAAAACAAAAAAAAGATTATCAGAATTAATATCAATATGAAATCGATGATGATGATGATTTATCATAAAATCATTGAATTAGGAAAAAAAATGATAACTGTTGTATGTTTTTTTTCTCTTATATTCATCTATTTGTTAATTAGATAAATATATTTAGCATATTTGAACATTGGATCCAATTAAATCAAGGTTGGATTCAATTGATTGTAATTTTTTCTGAATTTTTTCACTGTGCTATTATAATACCAGATACATGCATGTAAACTTGATTTCCTTGATCATAATAATGATCATAACCTTCCGGTTATATTTATCAATTTACAAAATAAGCTTCCATGTTTTTTTTCTAATGATGATAATTTTTTTTTGTTGGTTGGTTTTAAAACAAAAATGCTGACACTATGTCTACGAAAAATGGTTTGATTTTAAGTGTTATCAAACTTGTAATATTGCATTATTGTTTGATGGTTCAAAAAAAAAGAGGGAGATGAACCGAAAAAAAAAAATTGTTGTCAAAAATTCAGGATTGCCTTTTGAAAATGAGGGTTTTCTTTCTTTCTTTCTTTTATAGAAAGTATTTTGTTTTTAAAAAATTACAAATTATTATTTTTTTTGATGATTTATTGTCCATAATAAATTATCATCTCACATTATATGTTGTAATAATTTTATATTTAAAACTTTTTTCATATGATATGATAATGAAAAAAAAAGAAAACATGTGGTATTTGATAAATTATTCACAGGATATATCCGGTTGTTAATTTGTTGTCCAATGTCGCGCGCGCCAAAATGCAAAAAAAAAATTATATTTTCCATCACTAAATTTTTACTTTTTTTGTCATTTAAAATATGTCAAACTTGTTGATTTATTCACAGGTGTTGGATTTTTGGGCTGAAATAAAAAAATTGAATCCTATAACATAATGATTATGATTATAATTGAATTGGTTGATTTATATAAAAAAAATATTGATAATGAAGATGAAATTTGACAAATAAAAAAGGAATAAAAAGATTATATTTCTTTTCAATTCTCACTCTCTCCGATGATCCATCCACATTCGCACATATCAAAATTCATAGTTGATTGTTATTGTTAATGTAATTATATACATCACATGCGCATCATTTTATTATCTTTGTCGTTCGACATCGTTGTTGTTGTTGTTGTTTTTTTTTTGGTTATGCAATCCACATGGCATTAACATGTATTAAATGTGTATATGCCATGCCATTGCATACAAAACAATTGATTCCATTTCATTCTCTACATTTAACCAAAAATCATGCATGAAAATTTAAGAACATCATCATCATCACCACTATGTTTATCTAACCGGAGTGAACCAATGTATTGAAAAGAATGAGAGAGAGAAAAGAAAGAAAAAACCAGTCAAAACCATAGCATGTATGTTCTGGTGTTCACTAGTTTGATCCAGTTGATGATCATCATCATTGTCGGTTGATAATGGTGATGTGTTTGTTAATGTAATTGTAAAATCACTCTCTTGTAATATTGCTTTGCTTCTTCTTTTATCTAAAAAATTTACAGTGTAAAATCAGTATGAGCAGATTTGAATAAATAATGATACAATCCCATATTTGTATGTGATGAAAATATAGCAAGGTATCCAAGTTGTAGTAGCATGGAAATTGATTGGATACAATTTTTTTTTGTTCTCAATGATCTATGAGGATTGTTCCAACCAATATGAGTTTTTTTTTGCTTGTATATTAGAGTAAATATTGAAGAAAGGGTTGGCGCGAGTTTGTTATCCAAGAAGTTAAAAGAAAAAAAAAATATCTTTATTTATAAATGAAATTCTGGGAAATGATTACAATAGATTTGAATGAATTCCCGGATAATTTTTCTTTTGATGATAACTGATGATAAAAGGTTTTATTTGTATTTATCATTTTGGATTTGTTTTGTTATCTTAAATTTTATTAATTTTTTTCACGATTAAATTCAATTTTTTTCAAAAAATACTAGAGTAGTGGTGTTCTTTATGTTTGTCTCTATATGTGGATATTTTGGAGAATATATGTGTGTTCGTGATGATTGTGAATCCTTAAATCCAGTTTGAACTAGTGAATAAATATTAGGTTCATTCATTCGTTTTCTTCATTGGTTCTTATTGCTAGATTCTTTATGATGAAAGAAATAGAATAGAAAATTTTGAATTTCGAAACCAGGAAATGTTTTTTTTTTAATAAAACCTACATGGAGCGAAAGAGACAAAGAAATAATCAGAGAAAAACCTTTAAATGGAAATACAGTTAGATCTTAAAGGAAAATATAGATCAATAATATCTAAAATCGAATTCATTTTGTTTCTGTCTAATTGCCTAATATCTGTACAGCCAAAAATATAATAATAATATCATTGTGGGTCGAATATATCCGGAATCGAAAAAAAAATTTTATTATAAAACCTTTCTTTTTTTTTGGTTTTATCTTTCAAATTCCACCTACAGCATTTTTTTTAATGAGAACTTATTTTTTAGGTGTTTTCCAATCCGTTTTACGAATATTTTATTTTTCTTAAGTAATCATTTTTTTCAATTTGATTGAATCCAATCACATTATTATTATTATTATCAACCACCACCACAACGAACATGATTCGGCAGCCATCAATGTTATCACTTTTATATATGATATTTAACCACTCCGTTACTAGCATCCTACACACAACATTAACAACAATAAGACTTGGAAACATAGATATATAAATGAAGAGAAAGAACGATTGAAAAAAAAGAGAGAAAGATATATAGAGGATTCATATATAATAATCGAGAATAAACTAGCTGTGACTTGAATCTCAAAAGCTAGGATCCACTATTCATTCACACACATTTACATTTACATTCATACCACTCTTTTGTCTCTTCAATTGTTGTATATTTTGAAGATTGAGATGCAAAAAATATAAAGATGATGAGGATTATATGTGTATGTGTTTAGTTAGTTTATGTTTCTATATAATATATTCTTGTGATATATACACACCAATTTACGGCGCCGCTCCAAAGCATCATTTTATTATTATTGTTATTGTTGTTGGTTGGTTGGTTGTCGTCGTGTTCATCATCATCATCACCAACACCATCATCATCATCAATTGTCGGTTATGATAAAGACGACAACAACAATAACAACCACCTCCACCAACGACAAGAAGAAGTAGAAAAGAAAATCCTCATCATAACACATAAATCCAATTGAATATATTTTTAATATCCACCAATGTGTGTGTTTTATTACATAGACATATTATATCAATATATTCAAGCATAACTGGAATTTTATTTATTTTTTTTTTAGTTTGTTTTACTTGTCGTCATTTTATTATTATTATTATTATTATTTCATTCCATTTTCTAATCATGTGAAATTTTGTGATTACATTAGTTGTTTTTTTCTTTTAAAATTATGTTTAAAAATTTTTTAAAATTTAGGAATTTTAAAATGAAACAAACCAATATAAATGATGTGAATAATAATGATAATCTATAATAGAAATTATGGATGATCATTATCAAAATCATCACCATCATTATTATTATTATCGTTATTCAACATAATCATTGTCAACGATTTTTTTGAAAAATTTAAATTTCATTATATTGTTTTCCTATGTGATCGATTCGTTGATCATTTTTTTTCTGTTTGATTCGTTTTTTTTGAGTTTGTATTTTGTTTGTTTTTGTTATTTGTTTTGGTAAAAAAAAATAATTCATCGTGATTCAATGATTCTTTATAGAAAATAAAAAATTCAATTTTCTTCACATGTTCAATGTGTAAGTTAGTTTTAAATTGTTTTTCCATAATTTTGATTTAAACATTTCAAAATTATTTCAATCATTTTCACCATGTTTGTATTATTATTATTTAAAATACATCAATTTGTCAGTGAATTTGTGTGTTTTTTTTTGTTTACATTTCAAATTATTATTATTAAATGTTCATTTGTTAATCTGGTAGCTTATTTGATGAGGAATTTAATATTTCAAATTTTTTTTCCATTGTCAACTCTTTATTGGTTCTTATTTTTATTTTTTGAATCTGTCATAATCATTATTTGTCATATTATTGAATAAATAGTGAATAATTCTTTGCCAACACCAGAAATGTACAATAATAATCAATAATCAATGATGGTTAATGACATGAATGAATGTATGAATGATTTTTGTTTTATTAAAATTAATGATGGTTGATTTGTTTTGGCTTGAAATTGCTAGGTTTTGTAAATTATAATTATGCCAACAACAATAACAACAACAATTTCATTGATAGCAATAATTTTTGCCAATCCGATTCTACATACACATGATCCGGATTATTTTTTTTGATCTTTTTATTGATTTTCTTTTACGTCAATACCATTTCCGTTCACATTAAATGTTTTAATGAAATTTGAATTTTATTTTTATTTATTTGTATAGATTTTCACCTTGTGTGTTATATAATTCTATAAATATTAATATCTATCTGAATTGTTTGGTATTGATTTGATAATTTCATATATGAGAACAGAACGAAACATAAATAGTGTAAAAAGAAAATTTTTGAATGATAATTTTTCTTCTTTTTTCATTAGCAGATGGATTTCCCGTGAATATCTACGTGAAAAAAATGAAAATTTCACGTACACCATTATATAAACATCATCATATATCATTGCCATAATATGGGCAATATGCCAAATGTTTGTTGATGACAAGTGTCTCTGTGTGTGTGTCGGTGTGCATGGGCTGTCCTGTTAGAGATGATAATATTGTTGATCTTTTTTTTCAATGTTCTTCTATTAAGCCGAATAATGTTGAATTAATTCAACAACAAAAAAAAAATTTTTCTGATTCAAATTTGTTTCTTTTATTGTTGATTTTTTTGATTGTCAATTTGTCAATATATTATCAATTTGAACAATTCAACCATCGATGATGATGATGAGGTTTTTCCGATGTTGAAAATAAATCGTTGATGTGTGTGTGTGTGTGTAAATGTTTTGAAGATGGTAGTGGTTAGTTCACATGATTTTGATGATATATATTGTGGTGACAATTTCAGTTCAAATATTTTTTTTTCGATTGTTTGTTATCATATTCAATGGATACAGGGAAATTAATACGATGATCGACCGACGAAACAACAAAAAAAATGACCATCATGATTGCCGTTTCCGTTTGTCGTTTTCATTTTTTTTATGGTTTCATAATTCGTCATCAATTGCGAATAAAACAACAACAAGTGATCAAGAAAGAAAGAAAATAATGCAAAATCCGTTCTTTTTTTTTTGTTGAATAATAATTTATTTTCATCTTTTCAAATGATAATATTTTGTCGTTGTTGTTGTTATTGATTGATCAATTGATCGATCGATCAAATCATTATTTTCAACTGTTATTCATATTTTGATTTGCATTCGTGAATAAATTGAAAATTTCAATCATATCTTTGCATAAACAATCTTACTGATGGCTATCACGATTGTAATTGATTTTTATTCATTCAATATCTAATTTCAATCCTAATTGAAAAATAATCATAATAATAAACTAAACTATCTAACTAAAGATCTAGACGATTTTATTTTGTCTAAAATGTTTAACTTAATTGGTCATTAAACTTTCAAAAAAAGCAGTAATTTAATGAAATTAAAATTAATTTTATTTTTTTATTTCGAAAATAAATTTTTAATTGAATGTTTTGTTGAAATTTTCTTTTTCTTCTTTTTTTTGTGCTCTAGATTCGCTACAAACTACATCAATTTGCCATTTGCTTTAATTTTCTTCCTATTCCATACGAATTTTCTAATGTTGTTGATATAGCTTGAAAATTATCCACCAAACTATCAACCAATAATCATCATCCGTCGTTTAGCTTTGAATTTGGAACAAAAACGAATATAATATACGGAATAAGAAAAAAATTCATCCAAATGGTTGAATATTTTCATGATTTCAAAATGTCCCTTGGTCTCAAGGAGATTGTTTCGAAAAACAAACTCCGTTATAAAGAAGATGGTTACGATCTGGATCTTTCCTGTATGTATATAAAACTATATAGACTTCTTAGAACTATATCTTTATTATTTTGTTTTTATTCATTTCTCTATTTTATGTTTCTTATTTAATTTAAATTATATAAAGATATTTCGAGGAATATAATTGCTATGGGATTTCCAGCCGAAACATTAGAACGAATATATCGTAACAATATTAATGAGGTGGTCAAATTTTTTGAAGAAAAACATAAAAATCATTATAAAATATACAATCTTTGTTCTGAAACAAAACGTCGTTATGATATATCAAAATTTAAAGGAATGGTTGTGGAACAATATTCATTTCAGGATCATAATCCTCCGCCATTTTATATGTTGAAAGAATTTTGTGAAAGCCTACATAAATGGTTGAATTCCGATCCAAACAATGTTGCTGCCATACATTGTAAAGCAGGAAAAGGACGTACCGGTTTAATGATCTGTGCATATCTTGTTTATACCGGAAAATGTATTGATGAACAAGGAAAATTTGTAAGCATTGATAATGCTGATGCGGCACTCGAATATTATGGCCGACAACGAACACGTGATCTTAAAGGAGTGACAATACCTTCACAAAAACGTTATGTTCATTATTTTGAATACCTAGTCAAGCACAATCTCGAATATCGGCCCAGCCAGTTTAGGCTTTCATCTTTGATTTTAACTTCAATACCGGTAAATAATGGTGGTGCCTATACGTTGATCTGTGAAATTTATCAAATACCAAAGCAAAAAATCGAGTCATTTGAAATAGAAGTAAAGAAAGGCCAAAAATTTCTGTTATTTAATCTACCACAACCGTTGATTATTCATGGTGATGTTAAGCTAGAATTTTATATCAAAAAAATGAAAAAGAAATTGTTTCAATTTTGTTTCAACACATTTTTTGTTGGCTGTGGTTACGATACCGATACGTATACGATCATAACCGAACCATGTCCCCATTGTCCAAATGGAGAACGGATATCCATTCCTATTTCTACTCCTCTCAGTTCAGGAGAAATCGACAATGAATGCAATCGCGGAAAATCATTGTTCATGAGGAAAAATTCAAATGATCATCAATCTGTGATTGACTTATCATTTTTTGATTCGATCAAGAATGAAAGCAGTTTTGATCCCTGTGATTGTGCAAATTCAATTTTATTTCAATCATCATTCGAAATTTTTGATTCAACCAACAATGTCCAAGATTTTTGTAGCAATCATATTTCAAGTTATAATAATCCCTTGTTTACATCGCAACAACTACCAAACACATCAGTATCATCCTTTAAATCATCATCAACATCGTCTTCGAATAGTTCATCAACACAATCGTTGTGTAATAATACTTGTAATCATGTGAATTTTAATGGTAAAAAGACGAGCAATCCGGATTTGATGCAAACATTTAATCAGGAAAAGTATGATACAATCAAAATTTTTATGATATTTGTTTTAACTATTTTATTTAGGAGTCTTTATCTAGTATTACCGAAAGAGAACCTCGACCAAGCATATAAAGATAAATCTAACAAAATTTTTCCTGCCGATTTCAAGGTAAAATCTTTGGCTTGCATTCAATTTCGTATTTAATATTTTAATTGTATTTATCAGGTTGTATTAAAATTTAATCAAGATTCATTCGATGGTGTTGATACTACAATTCTATCAACGAATGATCAATATATTTGTAATGATTCAAATTGCAATCCATATGGTTACAGTGAAAGTGAAAATATTACCTCTGAAGATGATGATGATCCATCCGATCAGGAATTGAATAATGGTAGTAGTAATCATTCAACATTGACGATGAAACAAACATCATTCGAACCGAATAATCATAATCATAATCATAAACATCAAGTGGTACAAGCAAATCAATCATCATCATCATCTGAATTTGAGACGAATAACAATAGTTTAGAAAATAAAAAAGGTAAACATTTAATATATTATTTAATACCTGATTGAAGTTGATTGTTTTTTTTCTTATTGAATCAATTTAGGTGAAATAACCTATCTTTGACTAGCTTGATATTGATGATGGATATTCAAAAGTTGAATTCAAAAAATCTCACCTCATTAAAATCTCATTTCTTCCTTCTCTATCATTGTCAAATAAATCATTCAATTTTGAATGATTTAAATGATATAGTGATAGAAATATGTAATTATTATTCAAATTAGTCGATTGATTCAATCATCGTGTCATCATCATTTTCTTTTCTTTTTATTATCATGTCACATAAGTATTACGATCAATTTTTTTAGAATGTTATATTGTGAAACATAAACACCGAACGCATTTTTATTTTTCATGTTGCGTTTTTCATACTCATCAAATCCATCATAATATGCTTCAACATCATTAACAGGTGGTTTCAAGATTTTTTTTTTTCAAAGAAAAATTCCCAACGGATTTAAAATGTATGTGTGATGAATGTGATCGCGACATCATTATATTGTGTTATTATTATAAACTCATTCACATCAGAAAAAAATGATGAGAAAATCTCGGAAATGATATTGAATCTAATGCATCTTTATCATCATCGAATCTTAGCCAAAAAAAAAATCATGAAATGTCGAAGCAAAAAAATGATTGTCCGAGAATGAGAAACAAATGATCGACCTTGTTGCACAACAAAATCTTTTTTGTTTCTTTTGTTTGATTTTTCGTTAATTATTATGATTGTTGATTAATTTTTGATAGAGAAAAAAAATTATCAGATTTTTTTTACCAATAATTTAATTGAAATACAACCACACACTCTTCCCATAAATATATACACACACACAAATCAATGAATCTTACTTTGGTGAAAAACATTATATTGTGATGATGATGCTGATGATCGTATAATTGTGATTTTTGAAGCAAGAGATTTTATTCATTTTTCGCCTGTCTGTCGGTTTGTTTGTTTGTTTGTTCGTTCACAAATACGGAACAAAAAAAATTGTATTATTCTTTTGACTATCACACCAACACTCCCACAAACACATAGTAAAAAAATTCTTCATTTAACTTATTTTTTCATCATTTCAATAATTTTTATTTTCATACATACATCATAAACGCAGAATATCATTAGATGTTTAAATCATTTAAATTAATTAAAATCTTATTAACACATTCAACTACAAAAAAAAACTTGACAAAAATGTTTTGCATTTCTTTTTCTTTCATCGATTCAATAAATCTATATATGATACCAACACATACCACCATACACACGTTACAAATAATCATACCTGATTCTTGTATTGATAATAATAATAAAAAATTATGATTGAAAAGTGATCACTAATCAACCCAAATTCCTTTTACACATAATCGCCATCCATTAATTCAATTGATTTTTTTTATCTCTTTCCATCCCTTGTTTTCATTATTCCCGCCCAAATTTTTCAATGCCACTTTTTCCTTGAATACTGCATCCATACACCCACACATACACTCCCACATTAATGTATACATACGTACCATATACACATAAAACACTATCAACTATTTTTTTTTTGGATTTTGTGTTATTGTCAATTTAATTCTCTTATCTTTTTTTTATCTCATTATTAATTAATTTTATTAGTCATTATTATTCGAATTTATTAATTAATTATCAATTATTGATGGATGGAAGAGAAGAAAATATTTTTTTCAACAAAAATATGTTTTTTAAAACAATTAGACCCAATTGAATAATTTACCACACAGAAAACCGACATGAAGAAAAAAAAGATGTTTTTTTTTCAAATCATCATCATCATTTTCATCTTCAATTCAATTTAATTGCTTGTTTTCTTTAATGTAAAATTTTTTTTAAAGATCAATTATTGAATTTTTTTTAGTAACGAAAAAATAACTAAACAATCCTATAAATGTATCGAAAAAATGTATCAAAAAAAATTTAAATTAAAATCATGTGATTCAAAATATAATTATTCGGAAATTATTATTTTTTTCTATCATTTTCTCGTTATAGAAATAATCCATTCCATTTGGCCTGTTGATGAAATAACATTCAATATTGGATTTAGCATAAAAATTTGTTTTTAATTTTCAGAAAAAAATTTATACAAAAAAAATAATATTGCTAAAATTTTTCGTTGTCATCGTTTTTTTTTGCTTTTCAAAAATTCGATTTGACCAATGGAGAATATCCGTTCGTTGATGTCATTTCCGATTTTTTTAAATATTATGTGTGCAGGTTTTTTTCTGAAAAAAAAGTGAGAGCAATCAAATGAAAAAATAATAATTTGAAGTGAAATGATGATCAATGTATATTGATAGCGATGATGATGAGAAGATAAAATCGTTGCTGGTGTTGTATCACATAATTAAAATCAGTAAAAGATGTAATGAGAAAAACGTTTTTCATGTTATGTATTTGTATGTATGTGTGTATGGGAATTTACTTTCAGATTTCAAATACAGAATAAAGTTCCAAAATTAAGCAAAACCCAACATTAAAAAATATGATGGATGAGCTTCATTGGAGTTGTATTTTTTCCCCTATAAATGAAGTTAGAAAAGTTTTTTGAAGTTTTTTCAATTTTGTTAAATGATCGCCATTGATGTATATTTTAACATTCCATTCAATACAATATTTTATCGAAAAATCATCTGATTTGATGATTATACAATTTTCCCGAGAAATAATAATTACAACAATAATTGTATGGTTTAACAATAACAACAAACAACTTTAAACTGATATGGAATCTGCTACATACGGCATCTTGGGGCTTTATCCATTCACTGTGGTCATTATAAGTGAAATTATTTGTTTGTAAATCATCATTAGAAAAAAAACGGTTGCTGCTGCTGTTGGTTACACTGATTGAATAGAAAAAAAAAGAGATTATGATCAGATAAATAACGAAATAAAAAATGGGTTACCTTTGTATGTTTTTATGTGAAAATATGAGATAAATGTTTGACAGGAACAGTATTTAAAAGGGAAAATATTGAAATGATAAATTGTGGATGGGATGAGAACAACAAACAAACAAACACACAAAATAAGGTAAATTATTGTGATTGTAATGGGTGTAGATATTGAAAAAAAATCACGATTTCATCAATGTCTGTCATATGATGATTTATTTGATAAAAAGGGGAGATGGGAAAAAAAATAGGCAATTGATAATTCTAACCTAATTTATTCTGATTGCTTAATTCTGAATGTTGTTGCTGTTGTTCTTGTTGGTGATGATTATAATGATGAGTAAGATGGATAATGATGATCAATTCGTTCGAAAAAAAAGATTCATTTGAATTTTTTACATTTAATTAGCAGAATTATGTAGCTCAATTTCAAATTAGGTTTATAAATTTTTTTTTTGATTAAATTTTGAATTGTATAATTTAAAAAAATAATAATAATTACAAATATTTTTTTCCTTTCATCTTCAATCAAAAAAAAAAATTTTCGTTTTTCTCGGATTTTTTTTCAGGTAAATTAGATGTGTGTCTGGGTGTGGGTGGATGTATTGCATGTATTTTATATATATAGGTAGTGAACATTATAATTTCAGAAAATTAATCATAAGATAAACAAGAAAAAAAAATGAAAAAAAAGTAATTCTTGAAAGAAAACATTTTAAATCAACAAATGGCAACGAAAACGACTTGTAAAGATTGAAAGTAGCTTAGTAAGGAATTGAAGGGGATTATATTGATTGAAAACGATATTTGTTGTGACGATATTCATTTCTGTGGTGTGGGAACGTGTGTGTATTTGTGTCTATTCATATTTATAAATGATATTTTCAATTTGATTTTTGATTGTATTATTCTTCTTTTTTTTTTGTTCAAACTTTTAGGCTGTATTTTTTTATGTGTGTATTGTTTGTATGTTTGTATGTAATGTGATGTTTATTAGGCACCAAAAAGAATGGGTTCAATTATTTGACTATTATTATTTATGAGGTGATAATCGTTTTGAAACGATGATATAATGATGATCATAAGAAAATTTTGGACGCCTGTTCTGAACTGGTTGATGACTTATGAGAATCAGATAATGGCAATGATGATCATTTTATGATAATGAGAATTGTTGAGATTAAAAAAAATCGTAGATGATCAAGAAAAATATAGAATTATTATAATTTATAAATTGTGTTGGGCATTTCGTGTTGTGTGTGTGTCAGGTTGTTGATTTTGTTTGTAAAAAATAATATTAATAAATACTTGACATCCACAATCAATATTGAACAAAAGGAAAAAAATTCAAATCATCATCATTCATGATCATTAGACATTTACCAGAAGTGAAAAGTTAAAAATCATCATATTCGTTGCATTTCACACAATCATTGATGAAAAATAGACGAGAACAGTTAAGAACGAAAAAGTTGAGTTGTTTCTGATTAATTAAAAAAAAATTCTTGACTTGTGAGCGGCGGGTCGAATGTTACTTCAAGTAAATGTGTATATTCTGAATGTAAATGAACAAAACTTGAAAGATTTTTTTTTGTTTTAAAAAAATTATCATCATAGTCAGATACGGAAACGAAAACACTCGAATGGCTCATCGATTTTGTTGTTGTTGAGGTGGTGGATGATTAAACATTTGCCGATTCGAAAATTGCCCTTGTCCACCAGTTCCACTTCTGTTCACTTGATTCCCACCCCCAGAATTAGCATTAGGATGAGAGAAATTTTGACCGCTACGATTACGCGGACCACCAATTTGATTCATTTGTCCACCGCCAGCATTTCCGGGATTCATTGACATATGACCACCTCTTGGTCCAGTACCACTTCCACTTTGCATCGGGTTTGTTTGAATATTAGAATTGCGTACATTTGAAGAAGTGTTTCTTTCACGATTACGATCATAATTGCTATTGCCAGTGCTGGCCCCGCTTTTGCCTTGCTTCTTTTCAACATTATATCGATGGTTTTCATGAAAAATAGGCTAGATAAAGAAAACGATCATGAATTGATAAAAGATTTTATTATTAAAAAAAGCACAAACCTTTTGGGCAATAATTTTATCGACAACTTGAGGATCTTCGAATGTTATGAAACCATAATTTCGACCTTTACCTGAACTTGGTAACTTTTGTCGATTGATTCGAACGTCGACAATTTTTCCATATTTACCAAAAATAGTGTGTACGATTTCTTCGCTAGAATCGGGCAATAAATTTCCAATGAACAATTGATTTTCATCAGGATATTTTTTCACATTAATGTTGCTTGTTATATTACTGCTGCTATTGAGCATAGAAGAACCACCAAAATGATCACCACCATCGGCTGAATCGGAATCATTGTTTTTTCCACTTTCTCTTGAATCGTTTCGACGATTATAAGATTTCTTAGGGAAACGATGATCACGTTCACGTTGTTGATTCAATAATGGCGCATTAAATTGTTGATGTTGAGCCGAAGAAGTATTAACAGCGAATGGTGGTTTCGGTACAACAACTGAACCACTAGTGACAGTTCCCATGCCGGCTACATTGGCAACGATACCACTTGGATTTTCACCAGTAGACAATGATGAAGACGGTGGCAAATTGCTAGAAACATTACCAACATTAGCCAAACCTTCGTTTAGATTTTTAGACACTGAAGTTTGGGCAACCGATACAGGAACAGGAACAGCAGCAGCCATTGATGGTTGTTGATTTGAACCACGACCCAAAATACCGGCATAAGTCTTTGGTTCGATTGATGCCGAAGAAAAAACAGTAGTTTTAGGTATTTCATCCAAATTTTCATTTTGTTCTTGCGGTTCGGTTTTGGATTCGGATTTTACAAGATCCTTATCATTATTTTCAAAATTTTCCGTTCCTATAGCAGCAGCAGCATTCTTTTCTGAATTTGATTTGAGAATTGGTTCATTACTTTCAGGTTGTGGTGGCGTAGTTGGCGATCGTGATTGTGAACCCATTATAGCTTTATCAGTAGGCTGAACAGAAGCGGATTTAGGTTGATCGCCCGGCGTCATCATTTTACAAATATCGATCAGTTCACCATTATTATTAGCATTGGAATTGTTAACCAATTGTTGCTGTTTAGCAGTTTGAACATTTTCATCCTGAGACAAATCGATGACGCCGGGCTCATTTTTAGAAATTTCCGATGTTTTATTCATTTCACGACCAACAACATTGATATCAGACATCAATGATGATGAATCGCCATTTTCCAACATTTGTATATTATTTTGATGATCACCACTCATATCATCAGCGATATCATCTTGATAACGAAATATATCATTTCGTACATAGTATTTGTTTGGCGATTCTGGTGCCAAAACAATTGTCTGATGAAAACGACGTGATGGTTGACGATTGTTCGATAAATCGCCCACAATCTAATTAATTTAAAATGAAATATTAATAACAAAACTGAATCTTTTCCAAATTATTGAAATATACAATCGCTTACCTGAATAACGATACCATTACCAAGAGTTCTCATACTATCTACTTGTCGAACTTTGGTATGACAGTTCGAAAAATTCAATGACATTAACTTGTTATTGATCTGTTTATGTCCATGATAATATAATTCACCACGATTTTCACCAGGCTTATCCAACGTACCATGAATGAATGTTGAATCATCGCTATAGAATCTAATTAGAAAATTAAATTAATAATGGATAAATGATTGGAAAAACAAATATTAAAAAAAAGAAGTACAAACCGAAAAAGATGTTGTGGTGCTCGATTCATCATCGTATAATATTGGCGAACAAATTCAATTGCAACTGATTGTGCCGAATATTGTTCTTGAATATCGGCATTATTATTATTATCATTAATATTATTATTATTATTATTATTGGCAACATGTTCAGCATTATAAGTTGCTGTGACTGCTGTTACATTATTATTATTATTGTTATTATTATTATTATTATTGACCGATTGATTGACGGTGGTGGTCGAATTTTTGCCAACAGCCGATTCCATTTCGCTGACCATTATTTTTATTTTTATAAATTTAGAAATATTTAATTGTTTGTTTTTTCTTCTAAATTCTGTTTGTTTATTTTTTGAATATTGAACAAAAAAAGTGGAGAATGATAATGAAAGATCTTGTTTTCAATTTTGAGAATTTTTCTTTTCACATATAATAGAAAAACGAAAAAAAAGGAATTGGACAATGATGATTATGTATGTTGATGACGATGATAATGATAAAGCAAATTTTTTATGTTGAGATATCAAAAAAAAAGAAGATTGAATGAAAGAAAATGATTTCCTATAAATAAGATATAATTATAATAAAAAAATGTTAGATTTTTGTAAAAATTTTTTAGTTAATATAACATTATAATAAACATTGATAAAATGAAATGATCAGAAACAGACAATGCAAAAAAAATGAAATCTGATTATAAAAGGAGAAAACAAAACAAAACAAAAAAAGCATTTAGACACGAACAGTGGAGGAGAAAAAAAAACGGCATGGACATCAAACAAAAAAAAAATTGATTGATCATTGAAAACAGGAAAATAAAAAATAAAAAAAATGGTTACCTAAAACAAGTAAAGATCGAATTGACCAAAAGTAACAAAACAAAAAAAAAACAAGTAAAAAAAAAGATTTTTTTGTTTATTTGAAAACGAAGAAACCAGAAATCAAACAACACACACACACACACGCTCAAAAAAAACGAATTAAATATTATGATGATGATAATGAAGCGAAACAAACAAACAAAAAAAAAGAAAAAGAAAATAAAATTTACTGTTGTTGCAAATTGAGAAAGAGATACGACGACGACGACGAAAAATTAAAAAAAAAAGATCAACAACGACAAGAAAACAACAACAAACAACGACGAAGGCGACAACAGAAGAAACCTAAAATTACAACCAAAAAAAAAACAAAAAATTGAACCAGAAAAAAATGCCGCACCATTCATTTGATTCAATGCTTAAAAGTGTTGTTTTTTTCCGCTGGCTTTTTTTTTTTTGGCGAAAGCGACAAACGTATTCAACATACACTCATTAATGATGATGATGATGATGAGTGTATGAGTGTATGGTTATTAAAAAAAAAATGAGGAGGATGACGAGGAGGAGTATTATTATGGAACATGAGCCAAGAATAAAAAAATCGAACGAGTATATATTTTTGTAAGTGAGCGATACATGTGTGTGTGTGTGTGTGTGGTGTGCGTACGTATACGTACATTTTATGTAGTGGCCACAATATAAAAACGTAATTGGAAAAAATCATTTATTTACATTTCATTTATCAATTAATTTTTATTCATTTGATAATTATGTTTATGATTGTAGCCAGAAATTGTTTTCTTTTTTTCGGATTTTGTAAATGAGAAAAAAAAGAGGATGAGGATGATGAAAAGATGCTCAATCGTTTTTATGTTTGTTTGTTGATTAAATGTGCATGTCCATGTTGTTGTATTTTTGTTTTGAGCATGCTCGATTCGAACGAAATACACACCGCTTTGCCATAATTTCTGTACATAAAAGACGTGCAAAAGTTTTTTTTTTGAAATGATAATTATCAATTGCAATTTTAATGAAAAGTTTTTACCTATGAAAGATATAAAAAATAGGTACAGATAATTTTATCAATTTTTTTTTCTCGACACCTTGACTTTGTAGATTATTATTAACCACATAAACCAATGATGATGATTGTTGTTTTTAATAAAAAAAATGAACGGAAATGATTACGAAATTTTAAAAAGATTAACAATATCCATTAGTAACCGATAATCTCGTTTGATTTCATTCTTTTTATTTTTCCCAAATTTTTATAAGAAATTTTTTAGGCCAAACATCAATGTATCAATGTTGCCTTATTTGGAATATGATTCCAACACAAAAATTGATCAATTTTTTTTCTGTAAAGCAATTCCTTTTAGGAACATTTTCATTTATTTCATAATAATATTAAATAATTTAAGTGGATAGAGGAAAAAAAAGTCATTGAGATCATCAAAGAAAATAAGGCTTAGAACTTTTCAACATGGAAAAAAAATATTTGATTCAATTGAAATTTAAAAAAAACACACAATAACTGTAAATAGATTATTTCTGTAATGTATAGACAATATTTTGTGTTTTGCCTAGAACTTTTTCCAATAATAGATTCGGTAATGGTTCATCATGTTCAATCACATCATCAGCACAGGCAACCAATTCAATTTGATCGGAAAATTTTACAGATTTTTTATTATTCCGTTGCATTGGTATTTTTTTATCGTTTGATGAAGTATGATATGTTTGTGTTTGATTAACTTGTTGCTGATGATGATTTGCAGTGATAGATGATGATATGACTTGATCATTGAAATTGGTACGTTGTTCCAAATTCATAATCATTGATATTGTCGGTGATGGTGGTGGTAGATTTGAATAGATTGGATTTGATTGTTTTTGATGTAATCGTTTTAATGTTGTTTCATAATCGGGTGGTCTTTGAAGTCTATTTGATCGTGGATTAACTGGTATTGGCATATGAACTTTTGTTGATGATGATGATGTTGATTTAGTAATGTTCTGATTATGGTCAATATTTTGATGAGATGATAGTGGTGGAGAATTTTTCGAAATGAAATTTGTAATTTCAAACATGCTAGGTTTTCTACTAATCACTGGCACCGGTGTTGGACCTGAACCGGCAGTTGATTTTAATTCTTTTTTGTCTTGTATCAGTTGTCCGTTGTTGCTTAGCGACTGAATTGGTTTAGGTTGAATATTGGAATAAATTTTTTCATTGTTATGATCATTATTGTCAACACTATTTATTTGTTTTTCACATTTCAATATTTCACTTCGTTTACGATTTAATTCTTCAAGAAATAGATTACGTTTCGGTGGCAATGGTTTCTCTCGTCTAACGCAATCTGATTTCATTTGTGTTGTAATCGTATTCGTTGTTGTCGCTATCAGTGCAATCTGTTCATTTTTTGATGATTTATTATGCTGATGTTTTATTTGTTCAGTGTTTAGTGTTGAAGGTGATGGCGAACACGGAAGCGGAGGTAATGGTTTATTTGAACCATTTATAACAGCCGGTGGTTTAACCTTGATTAACAATGGTTTTGATCTGAAACCTTGTTCAGCAACAGATGATCGATGTAATTGATGAAATCCTTTAGCATTGATCTGAGCAATAGCCGATGATCGATGAATACTGTCATCATCTTTACATTTATTTCCTTCAGGTGTTTCATTTTTGTTTGATTGTTGAATGTCTTCACGAAGATCCGGGAGACTTTGATTTTTTGATTTTAAGAAATTACCAAACATTAATTTCCGTTTGACTTTACATTGACTTTTTGGGCTAATTTTTTTACTATTCAAAGATGACTTTGAAGAAACATGTGATGAAGCGAATTCGGCATATCCAGCATCGCTATCAGTATTTTCTCGACAACTTTGCCAACCCGTATTACTGATCGGATCATTTATTTTGGTTTTCGGTCTTTTCTTATGAATGGCTTCCCATTCGCTATGATAATCACTAAATTCTGAATCCGATATCAAAGATACTTTCGATTTTGATGATGTTTTGTTTGATTTTGTTTGCGGTTTAATCATTTGTAAATTTTCATAAATCAATTGATGATCACGACTTGCTATCATCGATTTTGTTGCATTATCTTTTAATTTGTTTGTAACATTTTCGACCGATATCGAATTTTTCGTATTCGATTTACTTTTAGATTTTTTAGGTAATGTAGCATAAATTTCTAAGGATGGCCAATGATTTTTGCTATCAGATTTAGATTTGACTGCGTTTATTCGATTATCAATGGATGCATCTTGTTTATAAGTTGTGATCACTTTAGTTGGGTCTTTATTATCACGACTAGATTGACGACTATGTCGTCCATAGCTACTATCTCGGCTTGATTGTCGACTATGATGAGACGCCGCTTCCAATGCGGCAGCTTTCAATAATCGTTTTTCTTCAGTTTCAAGCTCAACAACTCTTTTGTGTAAGCTTGCCGAACGCATTACACACATGCTATGTTTCATTTTGGCGGATATTAACGTTTGATGATTACTGTATGGTATGTCCATAGCTAATCTTGCTTTTGCAGCAGCTGAATCACTTAATGCAGCTGCCGCACGTAAATCTCCTTCACGTTCTTTTTCATGTGATCGTAATAAAAGAATGTCCGCTTCCGAACAAAGTTTATCGCATTCATCTATTGTCGACAGATTATTAACCATGTCAATCAGTTGGCTATCATCTTCAGGAATCTGTTTCAAACGGCTATTCAATTTTGATGGCGAAATAGTTGATGGATAACTATCAGAACTGGACAATGAAAATGAATCATAACCTTGATCAGAAGCATTTTTAGCTGTTGAAGTATTTCGATTAGAATTTTTTGTCATCAATTGTTGACGTTGATATGATGTATCATTTGACGAAACACTTGATGCACGATCACTGTTTCCGGAATCTCTTCGTTGCAATAAACAGCTATTGATTTGATTCATCATCATTGATGTTGTTGACAAAGTAGAAGATATTTTAGAACTGCGAACAACTAGATCAAATGATTCGATGCTACTTGAACTATTTCGATTATATTTTCGATCATCATATACACCATTATTGAGCATTGTTGATGAATGATTATCTAATTTTAATAAATTTTGCGAAGTTTTTGTTGATCTTTGTTGAATTTTGATTATGTTTTCGACAGTTTTTCTTGATATATAACCATCGGTTGAATCAGCACCTACATCACTGAAATATGAAGTGGTCGAGGTAGCCGATGGTGAATCAGGCACATCCGAATTATAATGTGCAACATTATGTCGATATAATGCTGGATGTTGTTTTTGTTGATGATGATTACTATGATGACTAATCGTATCTAATTTTGAATTATTAATGTTTGTTGTTGTTTCGGTGGATTTTGGCTTCACGTATGATGACAAAAGATTATGAGGAGGTATAGGCGGTGGTATTGGTGATTTTCTAGTTGTAATAGTGGTGGGTGGAAGTGGATTGACTATATTACTAGAAGAATTTACTGACAATGATGGTTCAATTTCATCGACAACAGGTTTTTTAATGACCGTCATCGGTATGATTTCTTTTAAAGCATTTTTTGTGTTGATAATTTTTGCATTTGGATTTGAATATAATAATAATAATGGTTGAAAATGGCCTTTGATACATTTTTCAACAACTTGTTGCCATTGTGATCCAACCACCCGTACCGTTGCATCATCAAAATAGATCCATTGTGAAAGTTTTGTATTGAATATATATGTACTATAATGTTTGCCATAATAGGTAACCAAACCAACTAAATTTAATTGTTGATTATCATCAAGTTGTTGTTGATGATGAAACGAATTGGTTTCTTTCAAATTAAATAACTAAATTTGAAAAAAATAATATAAAATAAGTCATTAAAATTTTGATTTATTATTATTTTTTTTTTGTATCGAACAAAATTACTTCATTCAGACGAATATTCGTTCCAATCAATTGATAGACATTTCGAATGAATGTCAATGATGGATGATCAGTATCCCATACAAGACCAATGCTTATTATATCAGGTCTATTGAGTAATCGTTTTTCAATGTTCATTCTTGCGCCACACATTTTCTGGTGTAAAGAGAAAAAGTATTGAATGAATTTCCAATTGAAATGATTTTCAATGATTACAATGATTGTCAATGTATGACAGGTATTATTGGCATCAATTCAAATCGTATATCAAAAAAAAAAATGTACTACATACCGGACAATTACGAATATCGCCCATTGAATTGGCCATTTTAATCAATTGTCCGAAATTCATGATTTTATCATCAACAGCATTGTTATGACTAATATTATTATTATCGACATTGACAACTCCATTGTGTATTGATGTCGATGTCAATGTTGATGTTGACAGTGATGTTGATGTTGAGGAAGTAGCAGCCGTACATAATGCTGAGGTAGAAATATAATGAACCATCTGTGAAAATATGAATGGATCGGAGGTGGCACCACATGAATAACAAATGATCTAAAATATTTTCAGTTTCCAACAATAATAATCATGATGATGATGATAATGATGATCATACAACAATAGTCAAATCATTGGTAACGGTCAAATGACATTGTACAGGATAATCATTATATAATGAAAAATTAATATATAAAAAAATGAAATGGAACAAGGAAAAAATAAAAATAAAGGTTATTATTATAATGTTCACACACACAAACACACAGAAAAAACACTTAATCAAAAATCCTTTTTTTTCAGAATAATACATACCTGTTCGAATAGATTCATGGAAAATTTTTCATGAGGTATACAATGTGATGAACATTGAGATTTTGAATCAAGTTCTTCATTGGTTATATGATAATGTATACGAAATAAGATGTTTTCCTATTGTTGTTATGTGATTATTTTTATTATGACAATCATTGTTGTTGTTGTTGTTGTTGTTGCATCGTAGGAAGGAAGCAATAGAATATAGATTCATAGATTGAAAGAAATGAGAATAAAATGGACATTATTATTAGTCATCATCATAATAGATAAGAAAACATTTTTTTTTCATTTCAATCGAACAAAAAAAAACATTGGTGTTATGGTTGAGCAATCATCCTCAAACCCTTTTGTATTCAAAGATAACTTATGTAAATTATATATGTACAACTAGGCTAGTGTAAAAAAAAGTTAATGATAATAAACAATAATGAATTGATAATGTTATTATTCTATTCATACAAGATAGACGGTTTGTAGACGTTCCCATATTAGTATAATATAAAATGATAAATCAACACTTACAAAACATTCGGCAGCATCATCCATATATCCAAGTCGAAATCGACGTTGATCACTGAATGCTTGTGCTAATGCAAAACGTAATGAATCGGGTGGTAATGCTGATTCTGTGCTACTTTGAAATTGATTGAATAGTTCCTAGAATTTTTTTTATGGTTTACATAAGGAAGAAGAAGAAAAAAAATGTAAATTAAACATAACGAATGAAATGGAAAATTCATGTGGGTGGCCAATAAATTATGTCAAAAACAAACAAACGATTGAATAATGATAATGATTATGACGATGATCAACAGGTGTGTCATTATCAAAATCATTATTTGGGACCAAACTATACAGAAAACGAGGAGGGTCAAGAAATGAAATGCAGAGTAACATACCTTTAAAGCACAAAAAATACATGAATCACCCATACAGGCATGTCCTTGTAATTCACGAAAACTTCTACGAAATATATCCAGATGCCATAGAACCTATTAGACGAGAGATAGAAAAAGGAAAAGAAAAGTCAATTTAAAAATGTATTCAAATGAGTCATACAAAAAATTATGTAATCTGGTTTTTGTTTTCCTATTCATTATCCATTTATTCCGGTAGAAAAAATAATTGCTTATTTTTTTCTTATGATTTTACTGAATTTTAATTTAAATCTCTTAAATTCAAATGAAATGATGATTATCATTAAGGATAAATTATGGTATAAGCTTCTTCATCATCGTCTTTAATCATCATAACAATTAGATTTAATCTAAATCTTACAAACTAATTATTATTATCAAATAGAATAATAAATAAAACCATCAGCATTTTGAAGAAGAAGAAACAAAAATCGTGAAACAAAAATCGCGGCACAAATAAATTCAAAATCTTCTTCAATTTTTAAATGACAACCGAACATACAGAGAGATCTTAAAGTGGTCAGACAAGTTGTCCGAAAAGAGCATCTTGAGATGGGTTAAACTTGTTGCAAACAAACAAACGAACGAAAAAAATTGCCATTCATTTTCATGATAAAGAGAATTTATAATGTTCCTGATCGTCTTCTCTCTCTCTCTCTCTCTCTCTCTCTCTAAATGTGAGTGTGTAAGTTCAGATGTCTTATAGAAAAATCTTGACAGCTTGAATACGTGAATACAGATGTGTGTGCTGCATGTATGTAAGCATCTTTAAAAAACTATCTATTCTTTCAATAGATAAATTATACTAGAACAGCTATTTATCATCATCATTTATTCGAATGAAAAGAATAGTCTTTTCATTCATTCATTCATTCATTCATTCATTATGTCATTTCATTTCATTTCATTTAGGAGAAGAAAACAAAATTTGTTAAATACTTTTCAAACAACAATTGTGAAATATACTAAAATGAAATGAATGAATCATTCTAGTGAATGAGATTTGTATGGAACAAACAATACAAAACACACACACAAACACACATCACAAACATAAACATGAAAACATTTTAAAAGAAAATAAAACAAAATGGAAATGATAGATAAACGATAATGATATAATAACAATAAACACGTCGAACAAACAAAACAGATCAAAATACTTATGCAATACAACTATTATATTGAAATGAAGAACAATTGTAATTGACAAGAGAAAATAAAAGAAAGAAAGATTTAGTTAAAGGAAAAATATACTTGAAAACATTATTGTTTTGAACAGATGAGCAATGGAATCAATGGAATCAATGATGACAATTATCATTAAAAAATAAGGATCTTGAACAGAAAAATCATTTGAATAATGAAAAAGAAAAAAAAACATTTTAAAAGAATCAATTTTCAAATAAGAAAAATCAATCAATCAATCAATCAATCAAAAGTAAACAATTTCGAATGTACAACTTCCAGTAAAAAAAAAATAAACAAACACACTCATGCATAAATGACGTACCAACATGATCACAAAAACATTCGATTTTGATTTAATTCAAAAAAAAAATCAAAATATTTTTGTTTTTTCAAAAGATTTTTATCATCATCATCATCATCAATGATTTCATTAAAACAAATGAATTTCTCTTCTTCTTCTTCTTCTTCTTCTGATTCAATATTTGTTTATGCAAAAAAAGAAAAGGTAATTAATCTTTTAACGATCTAAATTTCATGATTAACAAATGTTTGTTTATGTAATATAATTTGATCTGTTTTATTTTTTTTCGTCATTAATAATAATCCAAAAAAAGGTGATGATAACAGATAATTATTGAATTATCATAATGAAAATTGCTTAATACACACATTGCTTGATTAAATTTTTTGTTGCTGTTTGCTGATCAAAATAATGAAATTCTTATCAAATGATAAATGAAAAAAATATTTATCGATGATGATGATGATAATTTTTCATTTTGACACCTTGATTTGATTTAAAATCAAATAGTGATTACCTTGTGTGTGTGTGTGTGTGGGAGCAGCAACAAGTTATTTGATTTTCATTCTTCTTTTGTTCTTAACCGAAAATTGATGATGAATGAGGGAGAATTCATTCAAGAATGATTATCAACAACAACAACTTTTTTTTTCTTTCCTTTCTGATTAAATAATCGTTGGTGTGATCAGATCAATCAAAAACTAAAACAGCCACAACAACAAGTGATTGCAAAATCTTCATTCAAAATAACAAAACGAAAATGAAAAAAATTCCATACTTGAACATTAACAAATATATAGATCAACCATAGAATCAAATTATTATTTTTTTGAAAAGTAAAAAGATCAACAAACTTGAACATTTATTCATTCATTCGCAATCATTCATAATCGTAACCATTCTGATCAGAATATTTTTGTTTTTGATCAAAAAAAAACAACAACAACATCAAAAAGATTTCAATGTCAAGATAATTCTCATTATTATTGTTAACATCAAAAGAAAGAAAACCCTGGTATAAAAAAAGGCATGTATTTCATATTGAATGAATGAATCGATGTAATCTAATAATGATGAGGATCTTGTATGAAACAAAATGAAATGATTTCAACAACGCTGATGCTCTGTTCTATCTATCTATATTTTGTTCTTTTTCTTTATCATTTCATTTCATTTCGTTACGAACAATCAAATCGAATCAAGATGATGATGATTATGAATAGGATGAAAAACGACACGGTCTTTTGACCTAAGACAATAGATATTATTTAAGCAACAATAGATTAAACATTGGTGGTGGTGGCGGCAACATTGAACGATGTGAAATATATTTCAAAATCGAACGTTTCTGATATACATTCGACAATGAAAATAATAACGAGCGAAAAAAAATTTCTTCAATGATGATTAGAACGACCACGACGACTACGAAGTTCGATGATGAACACGGATACAAAATGTATGCAATGTATAGTAATAGAAGATAACAAGTACATAGTTCATGTTCAAACTAGATCAACGAAGTAAAAAATGAATCAAAAAAAAAAAAGTTAATTGATCGAATCGTTATTTGAATTAACAACAACAACAACATTAACAACAGAAAATCAATATTACCTTTAATCAATGTTAAATCATTGATCAATTCTATCAGTTAACACAAATTAATGTTTAGTTTTTTTTTGGGAGGAAAAAACAACAACATTGATTAAAATGAACTATGAACAGAAGATAGGTTTTGTTGTTGACCCTCGTTATCTGAGTGTTCAATATACTATAGGTTGATTTGATTCTTCATTTTATTCAACAAAAAAACTATCCATTCTTATCAATGAACACGATGTCCAATTATATAAGATGAGGATTATAGAACGCAACATTCTTTTTCTTCAATGTTATTAGCTTGATTTATCGATTGATTGATCGAATAATTGATTGATCTATTGATTGATTGACTGATTGTCAGTTTGTTTGTTTCGTAGATATTGTTCTTGTTGTTGTTGTTGTTGTTTCCTGTTCACAATCATGATTATCATCAAAAAAGTGAATAATCGATTTTGTTGATTAAACTTTGAACAAAACAAAAAAATCAAATCATTATTGTTCTTTTTTTTATCAGTTTTTTGATTATATCATCATCATCATCATGTTAAAATTTTTTTTTCTTTATATTTTTTTCGAGGTTATTTAATTTTCTAGGTTTTGTTTTGCCGCATCTATTTTTTTTTCTCTAGCTGCTCATGATGATGATGATGATATTATTATCATCATCGAAACTAATCTTTGAATAAGATATAGATCATTTTTAGTTGAAATGAATTAAACTTATCAGTGAAAAAATATGGTTGAATTATTCGAATGTTCATCATCATCATAATCATCATCATCATCAGGATACAATGATGATTATCTTGATGATCACCATTGATGATGACGATCCAGTAAGCAATAATAAGAAACGATGCACACCTTTATAGATACAGGCGAGACTTTTTTTTTTGACCATTGAATCGTTATTGTTAATCTCATCAACATCGATCTCAAGCTTCAAGCTTTAAACCTCCCGGTCACTTTGTGGAAGAAAAAAAATATATAGTTTTAGGTTAAAATAGATATTTTTAGCTCATAATTTTTTTGTTTTTTTTCCTCTTTTTATCAACTTTTTTTCATTCATTCATTCATTCATTATTATTATTATTATATGGAACACATTATAAAGAGAAAAATGATTTTGACCAAATACGTTGATGAACATCTTATTTGGTTGATGATGATGATAATGATTGTTATCATCATGATTGTGGTAAATAGACAATTTTTCTATGAATAAATGACTGAGTGAATACGGTTATTATGTGATTTTTATCATCAATTTTCAAAATGATGATGATGATGATTGTAAAATGATTAGAGTGAAAAAAAGTATTTATAACAACAACAACAAAACTTTTAAATGAAATGAAAATGTAATAATCGTATTGTGTTGCCGATCGATTCTATCGATATTTTGATTTCGTCGTCGTAAACAAAAAAAATCGTGTTTTTCTGTTCGAACACGATCATTTAGTTTCGGGCAAATAAGAAATTCAAAACAAAAAAACCCGTGATGATCAGCAGAGAAAAGTTTTAATTAATTTAAAAAAAGAAAGGATGATGATGATGATGAACACGATTTGATCGGGTAAATGGTTTATTCGATTGATTATTGAATGAAATAAATTTGCTGTTGAATAAAATCAACGGGAAAAAATCTTTTCGAAAATTAAATTAAAACTGACCAGAAACAGAGAAAAAAAAATCAAACCAATGCATCAATCGAGTTATTCAATCATTTTTTTTTATCAATTTGATATGGCCAAAGTGTTTTTTCATTTTTGGCCAGACATTACATAATCATATTTTTCATCAATTTCCTTATCAAAAATGTAAGTAAAAATATTCATAGAAAGAAATGTAATGGATCGATTATTATTATTATTTGTTTCATAGAAAATTACTATGTTCGTGTGTTTGGATTCATAAATGAAATGAAATTGAAAAAAAAAATGAAATTAAATGAAGAAAGTTTCAATTAATGTGCGTGTTTCACTGGCAAACAAAAAATAATTGTTTCATGTCAATACACCAAAAACAAATGAATTTTGTCCATGATGATGTTATGTTTGTATCACGTAACAATGTTTTTATCTTAATTAATTCGTCGTTCCTATGTTTTCATAAAAAATCCCTCAATAACAACAACAGAAAAGTTTTGATCCAATTTTCTTCAGGATTAAAATGACAACTTATAAACGAACAAACGAACGAATGAATATGTGAAAATTTGTTATGTAAATAGCTATTAAAAAAAATATTCAAACGAAAAACAAAGAAATAATTCGCCAAGATTATGACAATCAAACGAAATAAAACGAAAACTTGGCGATATAACACACTATAGTGACAAGACATGAAAAGATAACTTCTTTAATGGAAAACTGGATGATGATAATAATTAAAAAACGTTCATTATGAATTCTAAAGAAATTATCAAAGTCAAATTTCATAATGAAACATTGAAAAATATAAATGAATAAAAACGAATGCAAATAGTGATAAAGAAAACAGAAAAAAAATCGAGGTGCGTTCACCAAGTTTCAGTTTAATTATAATGAATTCAAATGGGAAAGAAAAAAATAAAGTGGATCGAAAAGCAAAAATGGATCAATTTAATTGTTTTGGCCATATCATTATCACTGACATCCATTAATAAATTGGATAGATGGTGAAATTGGAAAAAACAAAAACATTGATTTGTCCCAATTGAATAGTCAACGAAACATTATTCATTATTTGTGAAAATATTCAAAAAAGACAAACATAGTGAAAAAATTCCCAAAATCGATCAATCATTTTTTGAAACAAGGAAAAATTTTTTCCCAAAAAATAAATAAATATTCAAGGTTTGTGTTGATAAAATTAATGATTATTCAAAATTACCTGTACAGCACTGTTAAGAAAACAATTATTCTGTCCAGGCATATTAAGCAATCCTTTATCATGTGAAATTGACATTCGTGATTGTGATCGAATATTTGTACTATTATTCGATGGTGATTTTGTTGAATTTGATTCATCGTTGTTGTTGTTGTTGTTGATTATTGTTGGTTTTGGCATTGTTTTGGCTAAATGTTCCAATTCCGGATGATGTTGTTGTTGTTGTTGTTGATGATGATGATGATGATTATTATAAAAATTTTTCGATAAATTATCATTATTATCTAACGGACCAGGATCATATATCATTGCTGGATGTATGGTTTCCATATTTGTTTTTGGTAAAACAAGAAGTGAATCCGGAAAATATGACGACAAACAAAAAACAAATCAATTATGGCGCCAAATTTTTTCTTTGGATGATAATCATTTCATTTTCCGATATTACACACACACACACGAATAAACATAAAACATTCACAAAATGATGATGATTATAACTGGATAATTATCGTTGTAAACAAGCCGATGATGATGATGATGATGATGATAATGGCGCCGAAACCAAAAATCATTCATGCACAAAAATGATATTTACAATTCATAAATGTCATTTTTTTTAAAAAAAGCAATTCTTTAAAAGATGTTTAAAAGATCAATGTTTTAGATTCACAATTCACTGAATAATGGATTACAATAGCCGAAATAAAAAGTGAAACACAATCCACAAAACAAAACAATTTAAAAGTATCATTCCGTTTGTTTGCATGTATTTCGTTTATTTTATTTTCAAAACATCATTTTTTTAAATGTAGAAAAATAAAATTCGCATCGACAAGTGTACACAGAGAACACTGTATTCATTTGAAAAAAATTATTATGATGTTGATGATGGAGAAAACTTGAATCAAAAAGTCGATGGCCAATTTTTTTTGAAAATGTTAAGCCAAAAGCCAAATGAATATATAGAAGCGGGAGGATTTCGCCCAGCAAAAAAAAAATGAACAGGACAATCAAAAAAAGAGAAAGAGAGACAGGTAAAACCTTGTTCAGCAAGTTGTGTCCACCATCATCATCATCATCATCGTATTGCTGCGACGACCGAATTGTTGATTGCAAATATGGTGGGAAACAAAACAACAAGCGCAACAAAGGCAAAAGGTTACCATTGATAATAATGGTGGTTAGTGTGGTTGTGGTAGCAAGGTGTACAGCAAAAAAAATGATAAAAAAAGGTACAGGTAACTAACTAACTAACGAGAATCAAAACTTGTTATGAGATGGGCCAATTTTTTATCTTCCATGACTGCTTTTCTTAGCAACGTGAAACTTGAGATCGCTGTGATTTTTGTTTTTCTTTGACCAAAAATTGCTAAGCAATGGCAACTTCATCGCAGCACGAGGAGGGAGTGTGAACAAAACAAAGATAAAGACTTGAGGAGAGAGGACTTTAACTAATCTTTAACTTCGAAGCTTTGCCCCTTGTATCACACATCTTTGAGAAGATCATGGAGGGGGGAGAAAATGATTTTTTTCTTGATCGGTTTTTTCTGGTTTCGTACCAAATCAAACTGATAAAGTTAGGCAAAGCAAAAAAAAAAGGTCCATGCAGATGCATGCAAGATTCGAATTTTCAAAGATGATGTTTTTTTTTCGAAGCCAAATTCAAGATTCATTGTGACACACACAAAACACATGTCAATGTTACCATTAATGCATTAATGTCGAAGGTAAGAGAAAAAGATAAGGTCAAAGAATCAAATATCATCGTCAATGACTGAATGTCGCGTGTCATGGCATATATAGAGAGGCCAGTCAATAAGCCGATTTTTTTTTCGGTTTTTTTTTGTTTCTAGCCAAACCGAATAATGATGATTTTTTTCCAGGCAAAAAAAAAGATGACCAAAAATAAGGAAAGAAAATAGAGAGAAAAATGTTTTTAACCTGAACTGGATTTCAGGTTTAGGTCAGTCGCGTGCTTCATCAACATAGAAATCTTCTTTTTTTTTGATGTCAAATCTTCTTCATATAATGCCATTTAATGTCCAGATTGAATTGAGAGAATATTTTTCAAACCAAAATTGGTATTTTCTCTCTCCATTTGTTTTTGCTTGAATCACACAAATTATCATTGAATAAAGAAGAAAAATGAAAAGAAAATTGACTGGTACAGCTTGGTGATAACCTTGATATTTCATGGTAAAGTTATAGTTACCTATTGATTATTGGCAAATTACTATTGGGTGTTTATTAAACAACAAACGATGATGACAACCTGAGAAAATCTGAGTGATCTAGTCAACTGGCGAAAAAAAATAATTATTAGGTAAAATCAATGATGTTCACCATAAACATCCTCTTCTGTCTTTTCGAAAAGATCAAATTCTTTTAAAAAAATGAAAACTATTTTCATCATTAGTCATTTATTCATTGGATGACATTGATATTATAACCCAAAGCAAAACAAATGTGTATAGTGAAAAAAAAGAAAAAATTGATTAGATGTTCGTGATATGGATACACGTGAACGAATCGGAATTGGTCATATGGCGATATTATTCAACATTGCCATTAATAATGTTAAATATCAAAAGCACGTGCTAGGAACATTGGATTAAATTTTCCATTGTTGAAAAATAAACTTTGGTCCTATCTGTCACCTGTCATCATTGTCAATTTCCCCTAAATGATATCAATCTCAAAATAAAAATCCGTTGCTATTTTTTGCTATTTTTATAATCTTTCGCAAAAAAAATATTCATGATCAACCAATTTGCTGAATTGGCTATTTTCAAATATCAATGGTTAGGTGTGGTTTTTTCAAATAAAAAAAATATGCAAATAAAAAATAAAATTCAATTTCCTTCCTTTTTTTTTCAATCATCGATGATAATTGGATCGATCGAATATGCACCTTTATTTAAAAAAAACAACAAGCAACATGATAATAAAATGGATTTGGGCGTTAGGATATTTTTTTCTGTTTGATTTTTCATTTCATTTCATTTCTCATCCATAATAATATCAATAACAAAAAAAAACTGGTTTGAAACAAATGATTATGATGATGATCAATGGATCGCCCGAAAAGACATTGATGATTGATCGATCAATCAAATTGACACATGGCCAAAAACAATGGCCATTTAATAAATTCTAAGGAAACAAAAACCAAAAATTTTGCAATGAAATAATAGAATCCTTTTGATGTGTGTGAGAAGGAATTGGATGTGAAAGAAAATCCAATGAAATTGTCATTTTTCTTAGGAATAAAATCAGTAAATTCCATAACAGCCAAAAATCCATTACATTCCATTATTATTGGATTGTCAGGGAAATTTCAAAACTTTAAATTCCATTTCTCTTTTTTTTTCATTAAGTTTTGAAAATCTGTTTCAAATCTAGAATTTCAAAAAAAAGAAAAGAAATTCTTTTCAATAATTTAACCGCCAATATAACTGAATTCGTTTTACGAAATTCTTTTAAAACACACATACCGTATATACACACATACAAGGTAGTAGTGGAACTTAAAATTATAGAAAAACTTCTTTTTTATATACATGTTTGGTGTGTGTGTGTGTATACTTGTGTGCATACATTTGATATACATGTGGAGTATATATCCCCTTTTTGTTAGCTAACAACCATGATATAATAACAACAACAACAACAACAAAAGTGAAACGCGCATCTCAAAAATCAAAACAATACACAAAATATTCTGAAATAAAGAATGAATATAGAGTAAAAAAAGAATTCAGAAGCCATGAATCTACATCAGCTTCTACCAACCAAAAAAAATGAAAAACTATAGAACTACCGTTTGTTTTTTTTTGCATTCTGTGATTCACATTTTTCATCATGTTTTTTTTGGCTGTTTGTGATCAATGTTTGTTTTGAAGAATATATATCATTCATTGTTTGTTGAGTTTGTTGTTGTTGTTGTTTTTTCGTTTCGTTTCATTTTGTTGTGGATATTAATGTAGTATGAGATTATGAATGTTATTCAATCATTTTGTAATCATTCATTTTATATACGAATATATAATGTTGTTTTTCTCACTACTTTTACTGTCATTTTTGTAAATTATAAATTACTCTTTTCATTCTGATCTAATCATCATCATCAACAACATCATTACCGAGAAAGATGATGACGGATAATATTAATGAACAAAATTTTCATAATGTAGATGATGAATTGCATTAATAATATTTTTGTTTTCTACTGTCATCAATAAATTCGTTATGATTTTCATCGTGGAAAACAAAATTCGGTCATGTCATTCCTTGTTTGTATTATTGTTTAAAAAATGAATTGATATCATTCAAGAAGTGATAATAAGAATCGATACTTTATCAAAATTCCATACACCTTTAACGGTCATCGACCGTTGAAAACAAAAATAATAAGGGTAAGATTTATTTATTTTTTTTTTGTACCAAACATTTCGATAATCTAATTTGCCGAAAATGTTTGTTTGTTTGTTGTTATTCAATTATAAGTGCATGTAGTAAATTAAGCAAGAATTAACCTTTAATATTTTGATTCTTCGAGCATCCTTTTTTTCAATTCTGGACTCTTCAGATGCATTTTTTTAAAAAAAATTTTAGCTTGCCACTCATAATGTTGCTGCTACTGTTTTCTTAGATTCTTATTCGAAAAAAAGACAGGGCTTAATATGGATAAAAAAAAATTCTTAAATTGATTACAACAACAGCAACAAAAAAATTCTATTTGGTTCTAAAGATTCGATTCGATTCGATTTTTGCTGTTTGCCACCGATGTAGATGTATACAGTGTGGTCATATTCCATCATGATGATGATCATGATCAGTTAAACACACAGGTCGACAAAATTCATTCAAAATAGCGCGCATGAATTTCTTTCTATTTTTTTTACTGTCACAAGAATTTTGCTATGGTAATCATTTTAGGATGAAGAAAAAAAACCTATTTTTTTCACATCCCAGGAAAAAAACGAATCCCAGAACAAAAAAAAATTTCTCAGGTCCAGTTTTACTATATAGAATAACTTTTGACAATTTGAAATAAAAAACTTTCCTTATTTGACTAGATTTTTTTTTTTAAGTTGACATTTTGGATTCTTTACCTTTTTTTTGACAACGAAGGTATTTATTATTAACGATGTTCATCATCAATTTTCCCTTTGCATCAATAAAAAGCAAAGTTTGTCATTTAATTTTTTTCGTTGTTGTTGATCTGAATCAATTTCATGTGTATTCATGATTTTTTTCAAATATAGATCATATCAGTATTTTGTTCTCAGATCAATCAAATGTCATTTTTAAAAATGTCAATGATGATTTTAATCAATTTGGATGTAACAATCATTTTATCCTTTTATGGATATTCTTTCTTTCCTTTCCATGAGAAAAAATGCCATTAAAACCACATTTATTGGCTGATTATGATTGACATAAAATGTTAATTCTTTCATTTTGTTTTTTCTTGTTAATGAATTTCCACATAAATCATTATTATTGCCATTTACATCCTTTTTTTTCTACAAACCCTCTTTGCATCCATCTTTTATCATTAATAATCATCTGGAATTATGACATTTTATTTTTCTTTCCTTATTGTTGATTTTTTTTTCTATGGTTTTGATTTGATCATTTGCTATTTTATTTATAAAAAAAAATTTCTTGACAATGTTACCACGGTTGTGATGTGAATGTTGTTTTTCAGTGCCATGATCCATTATCAATTTGTCGCCGTCGCTATAATGATAATGACATTGTTATTGCTTTACTATCTTTGTGTCATAACCGACGATATATTTTTTTTGTCCATAAACAGACACACACACACCGTTTATGATTTTCATGTTCATTTATCTAATCTATATCATAATGTTTTTTTAAAGAAATGTAGAGATTTATTTTTTTTCTGTGTGTGTGAGTTTTTATGGAAATTTCATTTTTTTTTTGTTGAAAATTCTTAAATGATAAATGCTTAAAATTTTTTTAGTTTCGTCGTTGTTGTTGTTGTTATTGTCCATTAAATCTCTATTTATCATTCCATTATTATTAATCATAAATCTTTGAATTTTTTTCCATCTTTTTTACTGATAATTTGTTATGCTAAGGTATTTCATCAGCAACATCTTTAAAACACATTAAACAAAGAAAGAATTTTTTATTTAATCAGTCATGTTGATCAAAGAATATCGTATACCGATGCCATTAACGGTTGAAGAATATAAAATTGCACAATTGTATATGATTGCTGTAAGTAATTTTGTTTTTTGTTGTTAAATTTTTTTTTTCTTCAATGATTAAAATGATTTTATCATAGAAAAAAAGTCGTGAAGAAAGTCAAGGAACTGGTAGTGGTGTTGAAATCATTCAAAATGAACCTTATACGGATGGTCCTGGTGGTTCTGGTCAATATACCTATAAAATCTATCATGTTGGACATCATTTACCATCATGGTTGAAAGCATTATTACCAAAATCGGCATTAACTGTTGAAGAAAAAGCCTGGAATGCATATCCATATACCAAAACACGTTATACTTGTCCATTTATTGAAAAATTTTCAATCGAAATTGAGACCAAATATTTTGATGATTGTGGCCACCAAACAAATGTGTTCAATTTACCCAAATCAGAATTGAATCGACAAATTGGTAATTTGATTAAATTTTTTTTTCAAATTTATCAAATTTAATTGCCTTTTCACTATTTATTTTGCCAAAACAACTATTCAATAGATTATATTGACATTGTTGAAGAGCAATTAGTTCCTGCCAGTGATTGTAATGATCAAAATGATGATCCTCGTTATTACATATCAGCAAAAACTAAACGTGGTCCATTATCGGAAAATTGGATACGAGAATATTGGAATGATGGTAAACCAATCAAACCGATTATGTGTGCTTATAAACTATGCCGTGTAGAATTTAAATATTGGGGAATGCAAAATAAAATCGAACGTTTCATTCATGAAAGCGGTAATTCTAAAACAAATACATTCTTATTTGATTTTTCCAATCATAATAATCAAATTTTATCTAATAGCATTACGCAAGACAATGCTAAAAGCACATCAACAGGCCTGGGTTTGGCAAGATGAATGGGTCGATCTAACGATGGATGATATACGTCGTTTAGAATTGGAAACACAAGAGTATCTAAAGAAACGTATGGCCGAACAATCTGAACAGCAAGATCAACAAGAACAACAAATAAATGATGAAAATAAAGAAAATATAGCTACAGGTGATTCTCATTCAAACAAAGTCATCAATCTGAATGTGATCGATAAGGATAATGAAAATAATTACGATAATGTTTTGCATTTTGAAACGCCCAAAAAATCATCATCATCATCATCGTCATCATCAGTGGCTAGAAAGAATTCAATCTCACAATATTTGATGGGTTCAAACACTCGTCGTGATAGTGATCTTGATGTGGGCAGTGATCAACTGAAACGACGGAAATCATTCCAGTCTAGCTTACATTCTCCAAGTAATTAATAAAAGAATTAATGTGAATATATTTTGATGACTTTTTTAAAAAATCATATTGTTTTAATCGTAGGTGAACGTTTAGATATTATTGAAACATGGCGAATCGAAACATTGGCCAGAAATTCCGAATCAAGTGATGATGAATTTTATGATGCTGAAGATATCAATGACAAAATTTATACCAGCAAAATTATTGAAGATGAAAGTGATGATATTTTTTCCACAAAATTTAAACAACAATTTCAATCAGATCTACAGCAAAAAGTTGTACGCGAACCTGAAGGTTCGGTATTAGATTCACCACAATATTCACCCACGCATCAGCCTACATGTCCGATAAGCACATTGATTATAATTTTACATGGCGGCAATGTTCTCGATATGAATAGTTTAGATGTGAATTTGTCAAAATCTCATGATATCAATACATTTAAAACGACGATGGAATCAATTATTGAAAAACATTATTCACATCTTAGTGGTCGAATTGCAATACGTTATGTTGCTTGTCCGCCCATCTGTCATGAAAGTCTATTGGTCATGCTTAGTTTGTCACCATATTCAGTACAATCTAGTCCAAATACAGATTCAGTTTCGCATACATTCAATTCTATACCGATCTCAGCATTACCACTGTTTGCCGTATCATCATTTGATTACCATGAAAATATTATTCAAACCATTAATGAATGTAATAAAACTTATCAGAATTTTTTAAAATCCGATGATGGTAAAGGATTTAATGGCAAAGTATGTCTAATAGGTGATTCAATTGGCTCGATTTTAGGATTCGATGCTCTATGTACCGGTTCACAAAATAGTATCTATGAAAGTCAATTAATTAATGATAATACTGTCAAAGATGAATTGAGCAATAAAATTGGTTCTAATCTTTCAAATCCAATGATTTCAATAAATGATTTACAAAATTCATCATTGGATGAAAATGATCAAACAAACCAAATGAATTCACCTTTGGCTAAATCACGTACATTACCAATGAGTGTTATAAATCAAAATAATGGCAAAAATATTCAAAAGCAATTATATTCTAAATCATTTTCACATCCTGGTGGTGATTCTACATCATCCACTACATCTACAAATAGATCGACAAATCGTTTGTATATTAATTCAGTAGTTCGACGGCGAAGTTCCGGTTCGTCCGATTTAGCTACAATTAAATTTGATTTCGAAGTTGAAGATTTTTTCATGTTTGGTTCGATGATTGGTGTTGTACTTACCTATCGTAAATTATTAAGTTTGGATGACAAAAGTTGTAAGTGATACTAATACAAAATCTAAAAGTGAATTATTTTAATATTTTTGTTTTTGATCATCAAGTTTCGTTAATGAAACCTGCGTGTGGAAATCTTTACAATCTGTTTCATTTGAATGATCCATCGGCTTTACGTTTGGAACCATTGTTGAGTGCACGATTCTCATACATTCCTGCTATCAATGTTGCACGTTATCAGAAATTTCCGCTTGGTGATGGACAACCTATTCATCTATGTAAATTTTCATAAATTGTTCAGTTATCTGATTTTGATTATTTTTTTCATTCGAAACAGTGGAATATCTGCAAACATTTTCCTATCTGTTTTCCAATGAAAACTTACCGATTTCGAACAAAGATTTAGTTAGACGCATCAGCGAAATTAGTTTGACTAGTAATGCACCAATGGATAATCTTAATCTACCCAGTATAACTTCAAGTATGTTTTGATTAAAACTTTTTAAAACTTTTGATTTATTTTATTTCATTTAAGTTACAAATCGTTGGTGGGGAACAAAACGTATCGATTACGCACTATACAGTCCTGAAGGATTGAATAATTTTCCAACACATTCCTTACCACATCTATTTCATTCAAGTTATTGGGAATCAAGTGATGTTATTTCATTCATTCTTCGTCAGATCAATAAATTGGATTTGTTTAGTTTGAATTATATTGCTCCGGATATATCGAAAGAAATTGTTTTCAAACCGAAACAATCAAGAGAGAAATGGCAACGTAAAAGAACCTCAGTCAAATTGAAAAATGTTAATGCTAATCATCGAGCCAATGATGTTATTGTTAAAGAAGGTCTTGAACAGGTAATCTCAGGTCGATTCATGTATGGTCCGTTGGATTTTGTCGCTCTTACTGGTGAAAAAGTTGACATCCATATGCTTTGTCCGAAAACTGGTCAGTGGAATTATCTCGACACTGGACTTACGGACAAAACTGGCCGCGTTCATTATACGATTCCGAAGGAAAAAGCTCTGCCAACAGGATTGTATCATTTTAAAATGGTTGTTCGGGGTGATCATACATTTTTAGATCTATTTATGGCTGTTGTGCCACCAAAAACTGAAGCTGTTGTTTTTAGTATTGATGGTTCATTGACAGCATCCTTATCGGTTAGTGCTAAAGATCCAAAAGTACGTGCCGGTGCAATCGATGTTGTACGGTTTTGGCAAGAACTTGGCTATCTTATTGTTTATATAACTGGCCGTCCGGATATTCAACAGCAACGAGTAGTTTCATGGCTATATCAACATAATTTTCCCCATGGTCTAATATTTTTTGTCGATGGATTTTCAACCGAACCATTGAAACATAAAACCGAATATCTTAAAACTTTAAGCCAAAAAATGGAGGTAATCATTCGTGCAGCTTATGGATCCAGCAAAGATATTTCAGTATATCAATCATCAGATTTGAAACCCGAACAGATCTATATCGTTGGAAAAGTTTGGAAAAAACAAATGTCTATGGCTAATGTAAGTTTGCGGTTTTTTCTCTTTTTGATTTGTGAACATTTATTGAAATTTAATTTTGTTTGATCTTCAAATATAGATCATTAGCGATGGTTATGCCGTCCATTTAGAACAACTTCGAACAAATTTATTGGGACGTTCAAATTGTCAGCAAGTTAATTCAAGAGTAACATTACCCAAAGGTGCATTCACCGGGCTACGTAGTCGTCATCATGACAAATCTGTAAAACGTACCATTTCATATCCAATTACGACCTCAATCAATAATAATAATAATTCATCTTCAACCAAGTCCGTTGTTGTTGCTTCGGTTTCAATTGCCAATGATGATCAAAACAATTCCAATGTTACGACCACTTCTTCATAATAATTAATTCATGCCATTTATTGATCAAACCAACATTTTATTTTAAATCTGTTTTATTTTGTTTTATTTTTTGTTTTTTGATATATTCTTAGGATCCATGAATTCCTATAATCTCTTTAATTTGATATTTATTGTTTTTGTTGACCAAAAAAAAGCCCAGAATTTGTTCGTACTCCTACACCTGTGATATATTTAAACAAATAATTATGTTCCGAAAAAAAATTAAATAAAAAAAAAATTAGTAAAAATCATATTTTTTTTGTGTTTTGATTCTCAAACTATAGATGGCACAACATTTGCAATTTTTATCAATAAAATCAAGCTGAATGAATGTATGAAATTATAAAAAAACCTATTCGAAGGATAGCAGGCCTCTGGCGGGACTCGAACCCGCAATCCCCGGTTAGCAACTCCACCACAATTAAACAGGAAAATTTTTAGGAGACCGATGCCTTATCCATTAGGCCACAGAGGCGCCACACCTACAAACTAGGATGTACAGAATTTTTTTTCCGTACAATTAAGAATTTCGATGGTACACAAGGATTCCAATGGTTGGTTTTACCCAATTGGACCATCAAAACTCAACACTTGGTAAATGCATTCTGGTTTTCATTTTAAATGAATATTTCATTTTGGATAACTATATTTGCCAGGCTACAATTCTTTTTTATTATCATTTTCGGACAATTATTTCAATGATTGATTCAATAGAAAACAATTTTATGGAATAAATGCTGAACCATTAAAAAATTATTGAGCATGGATCAAGTTAATTAGAATTCTTTGTTTGAAAATGATTTCTTTTCTTTTTGCTGTTGTTGTTTAGCGACAATAATAATGATGATTATCATTATTATAATGGCTTAACAATTTTTCAACAAACAAAAAAGAATTTGCTGATCAAGCAACTATTTCGATTCAATATATTAAACAACAACAACATCCAATCAAGCAATGAAAATCAAAATAGATAAACAGAATTTGTCAAATTTTTACATAAGCTTAAAGAAAAAATTTTTTGAAAAGAATTCATTCAATCAATCATTATCATCATAATTTGTTGGATGAAAATATAGATCATTAACAAAAAATTATTCACATTGTTTTTTTTTTGTTTTTTGGTTTTGATGTTTGACAACAATATTCTACAACAACAACGACAATAAAAAAATATAAATAAATGAAAAAACAAAAACAATAACAACATGGAAAACAAATGACAGGCTCATAAATTCCATTTTTTTTGTTTTTCCAGAAATTCCGTTCATGTGATAGTGGTCGTTTTTTTATTATCATCAACATCATCATATATAAAGAATTTCATAATGTTTATGCTGCATTTGAATATGATGATGCTTCCTTCTTCTCCCCATACAAATCATAATAATATTCAAACGAATTTTTTTTCAATATTTGATCAGCTTGATGAATATTGAGATTCTTTTTGACTATAGATTCGATTTATTCGTTGAGCGATCATCATCATCATCATTTTTTTTCTCAAACGACGCAAAAAATAAACCAAATGACGTATTGTCATTTTGTATTTTATTTATTTATTTTACATTCATTTTATAGTGGGGGGAGTGTGATGATGACGATCTGGACGACTGGATAGAGCAAACGACCAAAAAAATGAAAAAATGAATATAAAAAAAAATTGAAAAATTCAGACATGACCATTTATTATTATGATTACCAACAACGATAAATATAAATGTATAGAATATTTTTTTGAAATTTTTTCATTTCTCTCTTCTCTTTCTCTGATTCTTTCCATTCCATTTCACATTTGATATTTTTTTTTCTTCTAGCAAGTAAATGTTTCCAACAGCAAAAAAAAATGAAACATTCGTTATATGTATCATTATTAATTATTTTTGATGATTTCAAATTAAGCGAATATGAATTTTTTTTTCGTTGTCGTTCGTATTCATTTGTTTGTTAGCGAAAAAAATTTTGTTTTTTTTATATTCAATTTTCAATTTTTGGAAACATTGTTATTGATGTTCATATTATTCTACCACTGCCACTACAATAATAAGAAGAATCATTATCATTATTCGTTTCCATAATAATAATAATCATTATTTTCAATTTCAATTCACTATTGAAATTGAAAATGAACATCATCATCATCATTGAATGAATGAATGAATGAATGAATGAAGGTTTTATATTTCTTTTTTCATTTTTTGTTAATATCATTTAATTCCATGATTGTTGTGTTGTTGTTGTTGTTGTTCATTGCCATCAATTCATGCATCATAATTATTGCAAATTATTATCGATTTGAATATGAATCTTTTATTATTTCACTATAATAATGGAATATGATTCTTTAATGTTACAGTTTTTTTTTGGTGAGAGGGGGATGGCTAGAAAATAAATGATTCAATGTGACAGGCAATGTTTTTTTTTATTGTTAACAAAGAAGAAAAAAACTTTTGGAAAAAATATTTCCAACTTTTGCTTATTTTTTTTAATGTTTTCAAGAATTTTTCCAAGAAAAAAAACGAAAACAAGAACCATTTTATTGCATTTATTCGAATGAAAAATTTTCAATTCCATAATTCATTTTTTGTTCATTTTGAATATATTTTTATTATTATTATCATCATTCAATTGATAATCATTAATGGAAACAAAACAAAAAAAAAGATTTTACTATGCATATAAATCATGGACCAAATTTCATTTTCGTTAAAAGATAATCTTGAAAAAAAATGTATAAATCTTTATAATGGCAAAAGATAACAGCTTCCATTAACATTTCAGCAACAACAACAACAGTTAGAAAAAACTTTGAATTTAAAAAATTTCTAATTAAAATCATGTGATTATTATTTTCATTTACGTTTCTTTTCTTTTCTTTTTCAAATCGAGAGAAACAAAAAAAAATTACTTTAATACATATGGCATTTGGACAGATAATAATGGTGTAAATGTGAACATCATTTATAATTTAAACTGGCAAAAAAAACTTCAAATTCGAGGTGTAAATTGATGAACCACACACACAGACAATAAACACACAGAACCATTTATCCTAAAATGGAACGATAGACAAATCAATTGATGATAATGATGATTATCATCAATGATTTTGAACAAACAAAACAAAACAACCAAAGCAATAACAAGAAAATTACTTTGTTATTAATGTTTTAAAACAATTTTTTTATCTTCGTTATCGTTATTGTTGTTGGATTCTGGAAAATTCCTATCTTTCCACTTTTCTAATCAAATCCAATTGCATTAATATCTTTTTTTGTTTTGTTTCAGATATAGAATTCTAATAAAAAAAAATGTATACAAACAATGTGAAAAACAAAATGGTCAAACATTAATTTAAATTGTTTTTTCTGTTGTTGTTGTTGTTGTTCTCGAAATTTCTTTCGCGAATTAAATTGGTTGATGTTTCAAAATTTCCGATCCAAATTGCCTACATCAAATCATCATCATCATCAAATGAGAATGATGATAAACAAACGATGAAAGAAAAAATCACAGAAATAAAACAAATGGAAAAAATTACATTTTGGAACGTTCCAACAACAACAACAACCAACAAAAAAAACTATAATGGCAGTTTTAGAAATGAAAAACAAAAAATTTATTTTTTTTTTCATTCCAGTGAAAAACCATCATCATCATTATTATTTTGTTTCATAACATTTATCACTGAATGATAAGCGTTTTGTTTTGTTTTTTGTTTTTTGTTTCGGTTGATTTTCAAACTAAAAAATTATTTCAAATTTTTTTCTCTGTAAAAATCTTTTTTGTTCGCTTTCCACACACACACACAAACACAGAGAGATTTTTGGATTTTGTTTTCTTTCTTTCGCTTATTTGTTATCATTGTATCAAAAAAATGGATGGATTCAACTAAAACATTTGAAAGAATTTACATTGTATAAATCATTTGGTTTATATTTGGACTTTTTTTTCAAGGAATTTTTTCTTCCAATTCAATTTGATTTGGGGATCAAAACCAAATTTGATCAATTTTTCTCTTTTTTTTTTTTTTTTGTTTTTTTTAAAAAACAACAAA